GGATTGTAGACTCGGTACCCATTGCCCAAGTGGTACCACCCTGTAATGGGATCTCGCCATTGTCCATTAAAGCTAATAGAGGGAAAGGAAGACCCAGCTTCAGAGCCAGAACATCCATACGGCGTATACTGCTGATTCTGAATCTGGTTAGGATTTTGAGAATCCAATGTGGTGAGAACAGACTGTTGACAATTAGAAGCCCAGAGATGGGTTTCGGTGCTTCCGCCTTGTTGAGAAACTATTTCTCCCCAATATTCCGATCCATTCGATAGATAGCTAACCGAACGATCTCCTTTTTGCACGGCTATAAGCGATCCCCTATAGAAGAACTTTGTATCTGGCTGGTTGGGCACTCTCTGACACGCTAGGTTTCCCGCCGCATCATACAAGTATTGCGCAAGAACATTGTTATTGACATCTCGCACATCAGTCAAGCGGCTCATGTTATCATACTGGAGTCTTCGGCCTTGTTCATCGCGCGTCAAGCATCCATTATAATCATACTCGAGGACAATTGACGGATAATCTGGATGTGAGTTGGTGACTCGAATGAGTTGAGTAGGATCTTGTGTGCTAAAAGAGCTGGTGGAAGTATTTGAACTGCCGCCTTGAAATACTGTGGAAGTCTGTACAATATTATCGTAGTTATCGAAGACGAATTGTTGCGATCTAAGAAAATTTCCTCGTTGATCTGCGGGAGGCTCGCTTCCTTGGCATTGATAGTTGACAAGACGGTTATGGACATCATATTCGAAACTCTCATTTCGCATCACAGTACCACTTTTCTCCTGGAGGCGCGAAGCTACAAGACCAATTCCATTGTATGTCTGGCTGAGATGATATATCAATATTGATTCGCCGCTGTATACAGATCGTTTGATTTCCCTACCGAAGTCATCGTATGTCAGTTTGGTAGTTATCTTTGTATTCTTCTCTTCGTCCTGAACACGGCTTTCCATCACACGGCTCGCGCTGTCGTAGACAAATAATACTTTCAATCTGCCTTGTGCTACCTGTTGAGGTCTTCCGAACGCGTCATACTGAGTCACTTGCAATTTCCCGTTCGCATCGGTATATTTTTGCAACTTTCCTGCCATTGAGTAAGTGTACAGAGCAGAGAGTGTCTGGCCTTCATTGATAGATATAGTTTCCCGAGAAAGTAGTCCAGAAGTCAAGTATTGTAGATCGTGGGTAGAATAAGCACCTTTAAATTGCAATGGAGCAGCAGTTTGAACGTCATACTTATAAGCATCTGTATGGCTACTACTGGATATTTGGGTAAGCGCATTATGCAAAGCTGACTGATAAGTTAGGTTGTGTTGTTCTCCCTTTGCGTTGGTTATTTGTGAAGGCTCGGGTGAAATACCCTGATAGCTTTGACTGGTAGTTCGTGTGCCGATAACTTTCCTCGTAACACGGCCTAATCCATCAAAGGATTGTTCGCCTACTGATCGGTCGTTAAGCTTCACTGAAACTGGCAATAAGGCTGTGGTTTGACTCGCATACTGTGTCTTTACCACGCGAGTACCAGGCCAGGTAGTTTCAACTACGCGGTCAAAGGAATCGGGTTTGTATTCAGTTACACGACCAAGATTATCTTGCTGCCTGAGAAGACGGTTTAAGCCATCATAGGTGTAGTCCATCTTGCTGTAGAGGGTGTTGTTTTTGTGGTAGAGCGCTGTTTGTGTGGGCGCGCCAAAGAGATTCAACTTGGTCTTAGTCATTCCCTCGCCCTCAACGCCTTCAACTTTTGTGTTGGAAATTGGGTCCGTATTGGTTAATGTACGCAAGCCAGAATTATCTGACACTCTATAAGCCTTGCCCCAATCATCGTATTCCATTAACTTGATGCTCTTTTGCTCAGATGGTGACTCGATCTTTTCTGTTCTCAGCCAATCAATGTCAGATGTTGTGATGAGTTGATCCTGAGCGTTGTAGCTATTTTCCTGGATCAGCCGAAATACTTGGCCATCCTGTTTCTCAACCCGCCAAAGCCTTTCCAAGCCATCTGTAATGTAGCGAGTTTGTACACCCTTTGCATCAATCACTGTTCTACGCGATCCATTGTTGACTCCTAGGAAAATGTACTCCTGACTTTCAACGGATTCATAGGGGGTACCTTGAGAGTGAACCGTTTTGGAAGCGCGACCGAGACTGTCATAATAGTAATGGGTAGAAATACCAGTTTGGTTCTTATGAGTCGCTGTAAGCCCAGACCACAGTGAATAGCTCGTTTCCTCCACTACCGTAGAAGCATCAAAAGCTGTAGTAGCCACCGTCTGTACGAACAGACTGCTACTGGGATATGTGTAAGTCCAATTCTGTGTTGTGGGATATTGGTCAAAAAGGCGTGTCACCTGTCTCTGAAGGCGGGTATGGTCTCTTGCTGCAGTATTGTTCACATAAGTGTAATCGAACTTAGTAAGAAGCTTATTTCCCTCCATATTTTGCTTCTGTTGGAGGACGACAAGATAGCTCGTCCTTGCGCCGTTCGCTGTGGGCATTTGGGCATATGTATAATTCTCACTGCGAATTGGCCCTGAAGCATTGGCTGGTGTTACCGTCTCGCGTTTCAAATATCTTTGGAAGTCGTGTGGATCACGCGGGCAATATATGCCTTCACCAGCTGCTGGATAGTAATTTCGATCGATTCTGATGCCAGTTGGTTTGATGTCTTGTGTAGGATTTCCCCATTCGTCAAAGACATGATGACTCGTTTCTGTGCGGGTTGCCTGACTAGCTGTATCCCTGTAGGTAGTTTCAACAGTTTTAGGTAATTGATATTGTGCAGGTTGATTTTCGAATGGTGCGAATGGGACCGCATGATATGTGATCTTCTGGGTGACCTGTTTGATGCCTTTCTGTTGTTCAGAAGTGACAAGAAGATGGAACTTATTGTAAGTATTCTTCGTTCTTATTCCGCCTTGAATTTGAACAGTTGAGGTGTATTGGTATTCGTCACGGGTAAGGAACAAATTATCTTCTCCGTCTTTCCATTTTTGACTACTACCATATGCAAGAAAGTTATAGTCAGAATAGGTGTAGGAGGTTGTGATCGGAGGTTGTGAATTGCCAGGACGTGCAGTATGAGATGTGGCGTAAGGAATTGCCTGGTAAGGGGCCCCTGTTGGCAATCGATGTCCTTGTTCTTTATAGCTGATCTCTTCCACGAGACCGGACGGGCTGGTTACATTGTTCAGATGAACCATTTGACCGAACTTCTGATAGCCAAACTTCCAGGATGCTCCATCCCAAGGCAAACGAATCTCGACCAGCTGACTGTTTCTTTGAATGAGAGTGAAGGTAGCTGCTTCGGGGGTATTTGGGGCCTTGGTTATCTCCACTTGAGATGCCCCATACTTAACCTCAAGAAGAATTTCTGAACCTTGCTGAATCTTGTCGAGGCGAGCAGTCTCCCCAAGTGCAGACCAAATAAATGATAGCGAGCGTCCAGTAGATGCATATAAGTCAACAAGAACAGACTTATTGTATCTATTGTTGAAACTTGACAAATTCTCGATTTGACCCGACTTATAAGTGATCTGGTATGTGTTGGCATCTAACTTCTTGAAAGTTGAGCTCTTAAGCTTTTGATCGGTGGTAAAGAGTGTGCTAGATGTTTCGGTAACTCGGTACGACTCGCCTGTCGAGAGGCTGACGACCCGGTTCGACTGACGGTGTTCATAAGAAGGGAGGTTGAATCTCCATCCTTGACCCAATCCAACGTCTTGTGTGTTCAATGGATGGAAGGACAAGGAGAGCTTGAAAGGAGGACAGTTTCTGGCTTGAATTGGTGCTTCATACAGATCAACCATACACGTGTATTGACCGGTGCGTGGATCGACGCCTTTCTGCAAAATGTCGCTAAAATTGAACCCTTGAGAATAGACAGTAGAACTAGATGACATTTTTATGAAGTATAGCTTGGAAAACAATTGCAATAGTTGCGTTACTAAATTCGGAATATAGACGCAAGATGGCAAGTTTGTTTTGAAGGAAATTTGTTACCTTCTATTTCTCCTCGCCGAAGATGATCAAGCAAGCTGCAAAAAAAGTGAAGTACAAAACTATCTCCATAGCTGTTGTATCCATAAATTTGACCAATCTCAATAGCCCAGAATGACTCTAGATGATATTTTTCAATCTACTTTTCTCAGGTGTCTGCTGCCACAGTATCGAGTGGGGGTTTAAACAGAGAAATACCATGTATGCCTGCGGGGTCCAGCATAACCTCGAACAATGCATTGCGTCTATAGAAAACACCCCATAATTTTGTTAGACTTTGGAAACTCAATGCAGTCGATTCAGCCTTAATACTGAAACGAGCGTTGGTTAAAGTCTCCACAACCCCCATCCCTTTCCATACAGGCTAAAGAATCACCTGTTCAATCATAGCAACAATCAGACATGAAAGCTGTACGACCTCAAGACTTATCATAAGTGGGGTATTTTAAGGCAGTTAAGAGAACAAACGAGGCGGTCTAGGTGAAAGCTGCATTGATTAAATATCTTGTACCATATTGTTGCTCGTGAATATGCAGAAGGCTTCTTCTTGATTAATATGACAATTCATAACAGACGTTTCAAGCAATTTACCAAATCTCGTCAAACATGATAAGAGGGGTATGCCGAACCCCCACCTCACTGTATGCAGTGTTCGTGTCTGGGCAAGTAGTCAGCTAGCCTTCTTTCAACACTCAGCTCGCCAAGTACAATGCGAACAGTACCAAGCGAAGCGTATTGAGTATTGTACATGACCAATTCGTATAATCTAATGTTATGATACAGCTCTAATTAGTAACGAGGATTCAGATGCCCCATACTCGTACAGAGGCATGAGATAAAAGCCAAAGACGTTTGTAACCGTGCTTCTTTTACATCTCCAATGGCAATCTCCAGCGGGGAGAAGTGCGTACAGTTCATGTGTACCCACCCAATGCACATGTCAGGATCCAAATCGATAACAATGAAGGAAAGGCGCGGGGAGAAAGTTGAGTGTGGTAGTGTTTGATGGTGTGTGGTATTATGTGCATATAATACTTCATCTGCCTAGGAAGAGATTTGAATCTTTTGATCATTTTACATTGCATATTTCACTTGAACTTACCAATTCTAAGCAATCGGATTTGTCGCCACACAGCATACTATTTTTCTTAAGTCGATCATACACACCAGTGGTACTGTGAATCATGTCTGTACAATGGGAGGTGACATCTTTGAGTATACGCACAAGTGAGGCCGGTACTTCTCTATTTGCGAATGGCCAGATGCAGGTAGCTGCGAACGTCTTGATCAAGGCAATAAATCCAGTCAACTACAATCCATACATGTTGACAGCGGCAGAGCTAGCGAAAATTGACCTAGTTGACTATTACAACACTGACGAGAAGCTCACCGGCCCTTGGAGGTTTACCTCTGTTGAGAATGAATTTTCACACACAATGCCTCCAGGTACCGGATTTGTCGCCAACGTTGAAGATCCTCCTACACAGCCATTGATGGCGGACCAAAGTAAACGATATTGGGTCAGCACAACAAAAGCTGAAGTCAAGAGCGTTGGAGCACGCATTGCCCAACCGAACGGCAAAGTGATCACAACCCGCAGTCCAGAAAACGACTCTTACATTGCTTTTCGGGGCTACCAGGAAATCCGGTATTCTTTATCCAATTCCGAATGGTGGAGAGAAGATACCGCCAATGGTAGCGGCTGGGATCAGGACAACTATTTCCTCAGAAGCAGGGTTCACCCGTTCATCAGAGCCGACCGCAGTGGCTATAGAAATGACAGTTTTGCCGTAGTGGGAATGCGCAACAGCGTTGCATATCATCGTGCAGGTCCAGACTTACACTACATGTGGCCTATGGGGGCAAGGGCAACTGTAAACGCTGGTAAGTCTCTTTTTTTCTTCTTCTTAACTTACACCTCCCGCTATAATCTAATACGACCTTCCTTTCTTTTTGCCCAAATTATTTGATAGACATTAACAACTCTCTCTTTCACAACAGGATTGACGCACTACGCCGATGGAAGGGTGCACCCAAAGGCTTGGTCAAAAAATATTGTTATCAGACAGCATGCAAATTCTCTATGTCTTACTCGCTTGAAGACGTCCGGTCCACTTGGCATTTGGGAACTTGGTTGGTGGTTTTATCCTACGGCCACAATGTACGACCAGTATGGTAATTCAGGCATGTTTGAATTCGGGGTTAATGAATACAACACAATATCCGTTCACAACCGCGGCACGAAATCTTCCCCTCCGTCCGATACTCCCCATTATGAAGACGAGAAGACTACTCCAGGTGCGGAAGTCGATGAGGGCGAATCATAAGTTCTCAGACCGTCAATAGATTAACCTTGTCTGAGTCTTCTGGGGAAGGCTATGGAGGTATTGCTGTTGAGATTTCAACAGATCTTGGTATTATTTTGCTCGTTTTAATCTTAGTACAGCAACTCGCTTGCTCACGTTCATTCAACCAAATATATAATGTTTCTCGACTTTTTCTCTGTGTCTTAGGCTTGAATTTGGACGCTGCTGCTTCTCCGGGTTGGACGTCTGCCTCCATTCTCTATCCAAAAAATGGGCACATCTCATGGACTCAGATAGCTTTCAATGAATCAATCATTACTCATCGACTGGCGTGCGTTGTCCTGTGCTTTATTTGACCTGAAGACTACAACACATGCATCGAAATGAAGATCATGTGACCATATGAGAGCTACTAGCTAGGCCTCGAACACCTTATACTTAGTGCTAGCTTTGCATAGCCTTTAATAACAGCAAAGGTTATGAGAACTTGTTCATCAATCTTGTATACACTAGCATCACTTTGTAATCTCTCCAAAATCAAATATGATAGAAGCGCGAGCTAGGTGCGACGATAGCGACTACGCTATTGTAATCCTTCTGGCCCCTATACAGTTTCTTTACAGTACTAGCGTACATAAAACAATACACACTTGATCCACGTCAAACAGTGATAGTATATGCCATGAGATCCATGGAGCCTGGAGCCTAAACTTATTAAGAAGGAGAAGGTAAGTCGGTTACCCTACTTTCGGGCCACCCCTGTTTTGGGCCACTTTTCGATCACTTTTTACACCAAAAATGGAATTTCTAACTTTCTTGTTTATGAATAGAATTCATTGAAAATTTATATATATATAATTCAGATCGTTTTAAACTTATTCTAAATTTTTTAGATTTTTAGGATTTTTCTATATTGAGATCTAAAGCTTCAAAATATCGATTTTTTAATTTGTATGGGAATCACATACAAATTTGAAATTTTTATAAAATCTTTAATAACTTTTTAACAACAACTATTAAAAGAAAACTGTATATCTTTTTGAAAGTTTTGAATTCAAATCTATATAGAAATTCAAAAAAAAATTCAAAAAAATTAACAGATATAGAGATATAGTATACAGTGAGTTTAGAATAATATAAATAATCCCTGTCATTTTGAGGGTACCCCTTTAAATATTTATTTATAAGAAATTTTCTATTTTTTCTGAATCTTCTAAATAAGATATACTATAAATTTATAATAAAATTTTATAGTTTATTTTTAGCAATTTTTATTAGAAAGTTATTAAAGATTTTATAAAATTTTCAAATTTGTATGTGATTCCCATACAAATTAAAAAATCGATATTTTAAAGCTCTAGATCTCAATACAGAAGAATCCTAAAAATCTAAAAATTTCAGAATAAGCTTAAATCGATCTAAATTATATGTATATAAATTTTTATCAAATTATATTATATATTGATAGAGATATTAATAGGCCTAAAAAGTGATTTTTAGTGTGAAAGGGTGGCCCAAAACCCTGGTGGCCCGAAAGTAGGGTAACCGACTTAATATACATCTATTGAAAGAAAGGGAGAAAGAAAGGATGGGGACGCTAGCTGCAGCGGCCATGCGATGATTGCCTTTAGCCAATATAATTTCAGTAGCCATTTGTCAACTGGCAAAAGCTTTGCGCGCTTCATGTGATTTGATCTCAACCATATTTTCTGCTTGGTGTACCGCACCCTGAGACCTTTTCACTGCTATGTAGCATGTTTCGCACGTAGCTCCGCGCTAAGCTAGCGTTTGAGATATCTTACAATGAAAGAAGAATCTAAATATTAACTAAATGAGGTCATGAAATTCAGGGATGCCTGAATATCATTCACATCGCATGGGGACCAACCGGAATTTTCCTCAGGTCGAAAATGACAAAGGGTAAAATGATGGTTACCCGGTATAATTTTCGTTGCAGCACATCGCATGTCATTAAATCCCCCTTTCCTCCACGACACTTTGCATACCAGCCTGATATTCCGCACTCCCCCGGTCGTAACTCACAACCATGAGGTAAAGCACATCCTAAAAATAGTTAGTTTTGTATACACTCCATGGAAAATCTGGCGGGGAAATTTGATGTTCTAAAACTAACCTTTTGCAAGATTCTCTTTACAAGTCCGGGCTTTCTCTTTCTCCTAACTCCCGTCTCCGGAGTAATGACTTCTCCTCTTTGGTACGCCTTTCTAATTCTTTTGTTCTGTCTTCTTTCTTCCTTAGCAGCTCTTCGCTCCGTTTTTCGCGCCTGCGGATTAATGTGACCGCCAGTGATGAGGGAGATGAGTGACCCGCTACTAGCCGGGTGACTCGGGTCAGAGTAGCGGGAGAGAAATTGTGGTTTAGGCGTTGCGAGAGAGCTGGTTGGATTTTGCATTGCCTATATTCGTTAGTTTAGAGTTTGTGGTGAAGCGAAAAAAAACTTGGGGAAGCTGGCGAAATGAGTAAAGTGAGGAAAGTGGAGAACTAACGTATTTGGCTTGGGCTCGACGATCGAAGTAATCGGTCACGAACTTTCCACTGCCCTTGAATTTGTTACTTTTCTGGGGGTTTTCACTCCCCTCAATATCGGCAATACGATCCAATGCTGGGAAAATCAAGGGTGCTGCTTCTGGCATCTCGAGCTCTCCATATGTCGTCCCGCTTGATAGTTTAATGTTCTTCAATGTCTTCTTGAAACCTGTGGTTGTATCATCAAGGGATGAAGTAATTGCTTTGGTAATATCAACAGATGAGTGAGTTTCCGATGATTCGGGCTTGTATGTAAGTATCAAGCAGTAAAGACCACGAGGCATGAAATACTCATTGTTTATTCTATCGAGGAAGGTATTTGTCCTGCAGAATACCCATCAGCTCATTGTGAAAACACTGAGATAGGAAGAACCAACCTTGATCGTGATTGTAGCTCCATAGCCACACCAACTGCAAATTGAGTAGCAATAGATACACCCATCGTGATTGGGCCGGGTACGAATCCTACAATTCCGGCCGCTGCATTTATGACTTGCAACCACGGAGAAGATTTGCTCGCATGGTAAAATGTTTTCAAGAAATCCAAGAAAGCAGCCTGATCAATCCCGCAGTCCTCCAACACTGGCGCATATGCTCTGACAAAACCACGTTTCTTATCCCTAGGTCTGCGTTGTGGGAGAATGACCGGACAAGGTAGTTTCGGTTTCTCAGCACTATATGCTGGAGGTGGATGATTCCGCACAAACACATCGACGAGCTCATTGGCATCTTGTGTAGACTCTTCAGAAGGTGTGCCTGGGCCAGATTTATCTGCCGCTTCGTCCAAAGCCCAAGCTTCCTCGTCTCCTTCCTCTGATTCTGTGTCCGAGGAATCATCATGCTCGTATTCCTTTTCGAGTTCGTGCTTTTCCTTCTCACTTACTGGAACAGCTTGGCCTCTTGTCATCATTCTCTCGGCGTCTTCTGCGGATAGCTCAACATATTGAGGAGGGGCGTCGTTGTATTGGTGATCGGATTGAGCAGCTGCTCGACTACTTTCGCCATTGGACGAAGCTTGTGGAAGGGTGGGTGAGGACTTGTTGCGATGATGATGAATTGTTTCTGATACAAGACCAACTCCTGAACCGATGAGTTTGACTATAATGCCCATGATTGTAATGTAACTTGTGTTAATAGGATAAAAAAAGTACAGTATTGTTTGATAGAATGAAAATGCAAGACATCGACGATTTGAAAAATGTATTGATACTTGGCCCAACCCTACCTCTTATTATATACTTACTATCTCACGCAATCTGATATAACTCACCAGCTTCAAAATGATCATCCATTAATGGAGCTGAGCTGTTACAACTCTCAACATCTTGCAAGCCTCGTTTGGTTAAGACAGAAGATGGAGCTTCAGCTTGATCCCACTAATGATGGAAGGATATGGTCTGTGCGTTTTTGTCAATTGCATGGAGAATCCTGCGGCCGTAATCATTAGAGACAATGTGAGAATGTTTTACCTATTCGAGGCCACCAAACCGTGGGGCTATGCCATTGTGGGGCTTGCACAGGGTTGTTTTGGCTCACCATGGACTGACGACGACTCCTTCAGATGTACTTCAATCAAGCATTGTGGTTATCATGTTAAAATGCATATCAAGCTTCTTGGCAAAGCTTGAGTCTCCAAAGTTATGAGACATTACTGTTATAACGTTTCAGACGACATGTCAAGCCAGTGATGATATATTGAAGCCTTCGACTTGGAGGCCGATACAGTGTTGTTCACGAATGTTTGCACCTTTGGTTAAGAGTGTATGTTGAGACAGGCGGGTCGATGCTATCAATTACAAACACACCGATAAGCATAGCCCTGCAAAAAATTCTCTGTGCTTTGCTAGGACGGCATCCAGTCATTGCGAGTGTAACACGACTGAGTATGGGGTGAATCAATAAATGTGGGCATACAATACACCAAAACATGTTTCTGGTATTGGTGAAGGGCCTACAGTCTGTCTTCTCGAGACATATCTCTAGCAATAACAGTACGCTCTCTCTCAGCCAGCGAGATATGCCCAATTAGCGATGATGGAATCAAAGAAGTCTCCGACTTGTCATCCAGACATGGGGGATTCATTATTGTCTCTGCAACAGAGATCCTAGCACGGCCCTCAATCCTAGATCTTGCCGATTTCGAGTCTCTTACGATTTATTCTAGTGCTTCTTCCATTGTAACATCGGCAGGGCCTCGGTTGTCTCCTTACAGGCCAGTCATTGCACAGGAACTCCAGGCCTCAATAGATAGGCAAAGCAATCTGTCCATTTATTCTAAGGTTAAGCCTTGCTACAGCTTGTCAAAAGCTTCGAAATGGCTTTTCATGGTGTTTTGATGGCTATTGCTTAATGCTTAGGTATTCCAAATTCTCTGGTTCTCATTTCACATTTAGATCTAAGCATGAGCCTGAAGTAGCAAATCATGATCCTTCGTCTGAATTCTGATTCTAGTTATGCTTGTGTCTACCATTTACGCTTTACCGCCAATGGCCCTTATGAAATTCATCAAGCGTACGGAACCTTATGCAACACTGTCGCATCTAAAGGTGGACTTAGGTACTTTTCTCCACAGGAAATGCGAGGATCTGATGTACTAATTTATTCACAATCGCAATGGTTTTGAAAGCGGAAGTGCTATTCCTTTGCCAAGGTCCGAGAGAATCTTCCCTATTTTGGAAGAAGAAATGGCCCTGCCTTAGATTCAACTTCTCATAAGCGAGTGTTTTGGCTCGGTCGAATCGATACACGAAGGAAGACGCATCAAGGAATGCGGGATATGGCTCCCATGTGGACATCAAAGAAAGTCAATCCCACATTGCCAAATCGCTCTGCGATAGGTAATCTTATTATCATTTTCGGCGCCCAGATCGATTCCAGTATCTGACTGACAATGCCGAATATCGGTGTATCTCAGATCCGACCCGTCAGATTAATTAGAAGTTTCTGGGGAAGTTCATGGAATCTGCTGGTCACTATACGCCTTTGGATACACGACCACTAGTCCCTTTCAAGATGCATCTTCATCTTCTACTGTTGCAGCGACGGTTTTTTGCGCTCAAAAAAATACTTCGATATCGATCATGAAAACCTTCAGACATTGCGAATCAATAAAAGTCGAGAAACAATCCACTTCATTGGACGCTGGAAGTTCATCTGGGGATATTGCTAATCTCTCTTGTTCTTGTGTTGAGTATATTAAGTTGCATCAATATCAGTTCTGTTTGTCTATTTTGGCTTCACTGGCCTCCAACAATTATTCCTGGTTCCGCAACCGTTGTCAGAAGTTGGAGGTATATCTATGACTGCTTGAAACTGTTGAACCGGTACTACCAGGCGCATGGCTAGAGGATTCTTCCGCCCTGCTAGCACTAGTGATTCTGCACCTTTAATTCTCGATCCTTGAGTAGAGCACTGTCAATCAGTGTTGTGGAGTTGTTGACGAAAGGAATGGCAATGAAGCCTTGCAAAGTGGAGACTAGATAGTTCCTCTCCCAGTAAATAATCCCAAGAAGAGAAGCAGCCACTGGCTATTGGTAATTCTTCATCAAGATTACATTCTAGTCAAACCTACATTTGAAGGTACGACCGGGTAATAACATAATTTTTACTGCACACCTCCGGTCCTACAAAGAGGCTATGCACAGAATCAAGCCACCAACAATACATCCAAGGTTACGAACAAATTGGGGCATTTTCATTTAAGCTCCCAGCGACAGCTTTTCGAAAATCACAACTTTCCATCCTTCGAATGCTTTCAAATGTAACATGGTATAAGCGCCAAGATTTCTTTATGTCAATATCCTAGTTTTCACCGTGTAAAATGTTATGCGCCTGATTTTGTGCCTTTGATCCTGCACACATAAAATACCCACAATACCATGCAAGTGCTTACCATCAGGCTGAGTTATCTTTGTCATGTATTCTCCCATCTATCAATCGCAAACTTTGTGTTTGTTCAATACAAGAATTCCTAGGTGATAATTTGAGCCCTTCAATCTTATGATTGAGATTTCGTGTTTAAATGCAAATTAGATGTCGAGTGAATGAAGTTCCTAACTAATTAGGATTAGGATAGTTCCTTCCTCTCACCCAGAGTCTTCTGCTTGTAAAGATTTTTGGCACTTCATTATACGCAATCACCAGTTCTTCTATATCATGCATTATTCTAATTCCCTCCGCAAATTTTCTCTCCCACACCCTAATGCGCTCATCCCAAGCCGCAGCGCCTTTCTCTCTTTCCTAACCAGCATCACCATCTGGCTCTTATTGTTTTCGTTTTTCCGTCATGTTTATTGGCGAGACCCACACTCTGCATTTTTCGATAGCACACATGTCTATGAGAAAGACTATTCTGATCGACGCCAATCCTCTGGCTTATCATTTCTAGATGATCTGGTCGAGAGAAATCAAACATCTTTGTTCAGTAATTCTACTTCGAATCTTTCCGGAGACTCGGATGGAGATGGAGATAAAGAGGTTCCGGATATGTGTATAGCATACGTAACCATCAAGCGCGACATGCAGGATAGAAATGAAGGAAGACAATATATCGATGCAGCCCTAGGAACCATGATAGATGGATTAAGTGAGGAGGAAAGAAAGAGAGTGTGGATTTATTTGTTATTTGCAGACACGGATCCAAGTGTTCATCCGTTATGGGAAGAAGAATGGTTGGGGAGGGTAGTAGATGATTATGGCGGATATGAGGTTGGAGGGGAGAGGAGAGAGTGGCTAGAGGAATTGATGAAGCAGAAGGAATGGCAGATTAAAGGAGTTTTGTAAGTTTTTTCGTTGGAACTCAGAATGCCAAGCTGGTTAGCAGCTTCCAAGAACTAACAACACACTAGCGACTATGTATACGCGTTAAGCCGCTGCTACGATACCCACGCTCCTTATATAGCAATAATGGAGGACGACATTGTATTCGCTCATGACTGGTTCCAGCGTACTATTTCTGCTCTCAATAAAATCGAGTCTCTCTCTCAAAGTCCTGAAGACAAATTTTATAATTGGATATATTTAAGACTTTTCTACACAGAAACGTTTCAATCTTGGAGCGAAGAGGTAGATTTTTGGTATCGACATAGATATTTTCTACTATTTTTTGCTGCTCCTCTCTGCACAATTACCGCTCTTATATTTATACGAAGCAAAATCGGCGAGAAAAGGAAAACAGGGAGTTGGTTGGATAACTGGACGATTTTCGTTATAGGAGTGGTGGTTGTACCAGCCTTCATAACTCTGGGTTTCATGGTTGGGAAACACAATTTGCCGTGGTGGGAATTCAGAGGGAAAGACGTGGTGAAGATGAATAGTGGAGGATGCTGTACACAGGCTATGGTTTTCCCGAGGGAGCAGGTGGATGGATTGAGAAATTATTTGACGGGAAGGGGAAGTGGCCAGACGGATTTGATGATTGAGGATTATGCGGAAAACGAGGGTATGGAAAGACTGGCACTTGGGAAACAGGTCGTGCAACATGTGGGAGTAAAGAGTAAGTTTTTCCGTCTTTGGGGGGGCTTTAGATGAGGTATTCATGAGACTAATTTTGTGTGTAGGCTCGAGAGGTGATAATCAAATCAACGCTATGAGTACTTGGGCATTCCACTTTGAGGAATACGACAAAGTTTCTATGTTTGGAAACTCGGTGTATGAAGAATCTTGATCTGGAGATTTGGAAACTTCCAGGCCAGAGTCAGTCGGATAATTGATATCGAAAATGTATATCCTCGCTGTTCCATGTTTTCACATTTAGAAAATATGAGAACAAGTCACTAGTCTCGAAACTACGCTAGCAGGGTTATCAACTACGGATCTGTTATCTCCCTCTTTCTCTTCTAACCTCTTGATCTTTCATATCTATAACAACTATTCCACTGCAGGCAGCTCTGGTTCCTTCCCTTCAGGAGTTTATGCTACGTCTGCTCAAGAATAAGTTGTTCGGAATACGACGAATTGTCAGGATTACATGGATTCTTGTTGCCTTTTGGCAGTAGCGGCTAGGTATCGTTGTGATGATTGGGGAACATCAGAATATGGAACGAAGAAGAGAAAGAAAAGAGGAGAGAAATAAGATCGAAAGACTTTAGTGGTTCGGGGCCAAAGAAGAGTGATATATACGTTAAATAGCCTAATTTCGTTGGCACTCGCCCACTCTTACATCAGAACTCGAACTGTTCGAAATGCGATTGGTATTTATTCCATGTTTTGATATTTTCGGGCCAGAGTCACTCGAATACTCGGTCCCCAGATTTGGAATTGCGATTTTGTTTAATGTCTTGGGTATTTCGATTGGGAGTTCTTGATGCAAGGAGAACTCGGCTTCATAATCGGAGTTTTAGACAGTCTAAACAATAAATTCCAAGCAGAAAACAGCGTAGGCTGCTTGCGTGTTTATCCGAATTCTAGGTATACGTGAAGGGAAACCTCCACATTAAGATGGTATATCATCTGGTCTTCGGAAAATCGACGGCATCTTAATTTTTGGATGAAAACTATCCAAAGCCTCACGCAGAAACAATTTGGTAGACTGGTTTGATAGTACATGCCTAGGACATGCATATTTTATCAAACTGAGATAATTGTAATACGAGGAAAATAGGTAGATACTAGCAGACAGTGGGGGTTCTTGTAGACGCCGAGCCACAAAATCTCCACCCACCCGATTTTACCGAATCCCACTATCAAACTATCGCTGCCTAGCTGGGTACTAATCCCGGTGTACATACATGTACTAATCATCAACTTTGACGACCTGGCTAGCAGAGCTTAAAGCTTACCTTAAATCAACAGTTTAATTCGGATCCACGACCGAAGTTCCTACGGAGTATGTACCTTTTCGAAAATGAGATACATTGATAGTCTCCTTGAAAAATGTAGCATCTTTGCGCACGCAAACGCTCGTGTCAGCTGAATGTGAGTATGAGGCAAAGTGCATCTCTTGCCGGGGAGGGGCATATAATGATACCCTACTCTATGCACAAACTTGTGAAGCTCGAAAATACTTGGGGGCTACGTACCATCGTCAAGCTGACGTCAGATAGATAAATAGAACTGTAGTTCTATTTGAACACACTAATAGACGAGGGACAAGTTCGTGCTGCCACAGAATATCTTCCATTAATCTAAATTTTCAGAGTCGAGGATTCCAAGGACCCGTCAAGTTTCACAATGCCAGTAATGATCAAAGTCGCGCAGCATGCTGCAGAAGCGTTTAGGCCAAATTGGCGTGAGCAGCACCAGAATGATTACAGCACGAACGAAACCTTGGACGAGAATCCAGATAATTTGTTCTTGCGAGGTTTACTCCAGAATTTGGCACCGGAAAGTTCAAAATCCAATAGTACTGTACTACAATCGACACTTACCGAGGAGATCGCGAGCAATATTCTCCCATCTGGGAACGGTTTAGTGCATACCTGTCTTGAGGCGTATAACCATCATCGTAATCTTATCCTTCGTCCTGATGATATTTGGATCGCTATTGTGACTCAATTCTCATTCTATGTGAATAAGCATTCTGAGGAACTGCGTTCCTTCTTTGTGGCGCATGAAGGACAAAAGGAGCTAGTTGTTGAAGATAATCATTTCGACTTCACGGTTTTCACTACTAACATGGCCGATATGATCCAGGTTTGTGTAACCCTACTGCACTCTTATATCGCGTTAAGAAACTGGTTCAGTCGTTAATTTGTAATTAGAAAAATGTCGTGGATAAAAGCTTCCAGTCATGGATTTTACCAGCATTTTCGACCACGACGCATGTCGACACCATTGTATGTAGCTCAGTAATGATGAGTACCATGAAAAGGTACTTCAATTACAGGTACGTCATGGCACTGTCTGGAATCTCTTATCCTATGAGGCACCATAATGTGTATTGAATGCTAGGTTTCAACTTGAATGTGGTATACCTACAGTCACATTACTCGGAGAGGTATCAGATTGGGAAGAAATTCTTCGCCGACTGGACAAGCTTGAGTCGTTTGGGTCAGCTCACGAATAATTGATAGAGTGGAAGGAGATGCTTACTCCGGTAATCCAAAATATGATACTAACCTTCGAAAATCCTGGAGCCATAGCCCGAGTTGATTTCTGGTCAAAAATTGCTCATATTCATAACTTAAGCGGCGGATCAACTCTATCCGGGTGGGTTACAGTTTTCTGTGCCTTCAATGAAAATGGAGTCTGCAAAGGAGACAACTGGAGATCAGGGCAGGACACCGGGTCAATGAGGGAGCCTCCCCAATATCCAGTTATCAAAATTAAAGAAATACCTACTGGAAAGTGTGAGGTTAAAGTTCGGATCAGTGGAATGATGGAACTCGATGCTGTGACTGTGGCCGGCTTGGTAGGCGCTTTATTCTCTTCTCAGAATGGGTATGAGATTCTTGACACAGTGCAACCGTACCCAGCATGGAGCATCTTCGCCCTGAACAATGATAAACGTATTCATTCAGGACGATAAGGGCTTACTACTTTTGGTATTGTTTGCCAAATGAGTTGGATTGTTGTTAAGTAGGTCTTGAAGGGTCACCAAGGGCGCGATATAAAGAGAGATGCGATATCAAAATGATCTTGCAGTAAATACCTGTTGTGTCACAGTACTTTATAAGTCAGTGTCATTTCCCACCAGACAGCGAAAATGCCAAATCTTGAGCCCGCTAAGAACAGAAAAGGGGTTCCAAGACCTACTTTTCAGAATTAAATCAAAGTTCAATCTCATGATTTGATGTTGCCAACTTTGAGACATTCCTTATTCCGTAGAGCTCAAATCAATATCTTCATAGAAAACGAGAAGAGATAATGATTGAGTGTTTTGGTATTGAATTATCGTCGAGGGGTATGATTTTTGGTTTTTCGATTTTCTCCAAGTCCCTTCTCGGTGCTTCCATTTTTTTGGCTGTGTTACTTTTGTGGAAGGATCGAAGGATTAAGAACACCCAAATCAGATCTGCAACATAAACTCAAGAGTGTGAGAAAGTCACGAGTTTCAATGGTGGTTGGTTGATTGGGGGAGCGAACTTATTGATCCGAAGTTGCTCCGAATAAAGTCTCAATTTGGACGACTTCTCTTCAACTATCATGCCAGCGTATGCTATTTTCTATCCTATAAAGCGTATGTTGTCTAATGGATATCCTCTTCTAGGTACTTTGTTGGTAATACTTACTAACCCCGTTACAAAAGTACTGTGTTTGCATAACTACAGTGCTCCTTAGCATATCAACCAGGTGTTTTGTCACTCTTGCTAATACCCTAGACTTCCCGGTTGATTTCTCTATCGGCGGTCTCAAGTCTTACTACTTCTTGTTTCGTAGCATGAGTAAAGCATCGAGCTGAAGATACTCATCGTGATCAGAGCTGTAGGTGATGACGGACGACGAGCTCAACGATGGCGGCACTGCTCTCCCACAAGAAGAGGGGAACGCAGTATTGATGATGTCTTGCTTGAAACAGCAGAGAGTACATATGAGGAAACCATCTTGCGATAGCACAAAATGAGTTGTATAACAAAATTGGATGCTACGACCTAAATAGAAGGAGTGATCTCTGTTTCTCGATCCATGCAACGTCCTTTATAATTGCCTGTCAGCTATTGTCAAACACACATACCAGTATCCACCTTCAATATCATATTCTTTTTATCTCTATGATTCGATCGCCATTCTTTCTTCTCTAGGTACATCTCTTGGTATGAATGCCGTCATCAGCTATGTTATCGGCGCCTAAGTACACCAAACCGGCGTGGAAGCATGCTGTTTCGTACCACAAGTCTCATAACTACTTCCAATCTTGTAACAATGACTGCCTTGATATTCTTCACTACGCAGATGCAGATTTTTGTCCAGTTGCAAATATTCTTTCTTTGTATCATTTGCGGACATGGCGGTTTCACTGCTTGGATCTATATCATATTGTCGTGTTGGAGTGATGAGATAGGCAGGCTTCAAGATGGAAACAAGAAGGGAGGGGAACAATGAAAATCGGTTTCAAAAATGAAATAGAGTTGACCAGCAGTGGATCAAACTCCATGATTGACATAAAATAACAGAGGAACAACGGCGCGTTAAGCCAAAATGAGAGAAGTGAGGCATAATTTGTTCAAATGAACCATCACTTGGAGAGCTAACTTGGAGTATAGAATTTAATGATATTGACATGAAATAAAGAACAATTCTCAAGGGGTAATAAAGCAAAATTCATAAAGGCAGTGAAATTCTCAGTGCTCTCCTCTATGGTACGCAAATAGAAAGTTCGAATGAACTTCCGCGTGATTTTGCGAAACTCACTTTTGAGTATCGCCTAGCGCACAAATAAATATAAAGCTGCTCGGAATATCTTCAAGCTCCCAAACGTCGACACCTCTACAAACTTATTCTACGGAGGGTCAGGAGGTGCGTTTGAGCCTCCATAACCTCCCAAGCTGTACGAAATAAAAGTTCTTTATCTTTCTTCCACTAATAAAGCCTTTACACATACGACGAAATTCCTCCCTATTACCAAATATTCGATTTATATCTTCTCTCACCATGGCGACCTCAACACTCTACATCGGCAAGTCAATTACGGATGTCTTAGCTACGGAACTTCTTGTTCTTGTCTGCGGATCTCTTCCCCGCGAGGACTTGACCAATTTTCGATTGGCGAACAAAGTTTGTGCTGAGGTCGCGTCTAAGAACCTCGTTCAAGATTTGCATGTCATATTCACAAGGAAAAGTCTCAGTAACTTGTTGAATATATCAAAGCAACCGAATCTTTCGAAGCATGTCAGAAGCATATTATATGAGCCACGTACCTTGCGGACTATTTGTATGGACACATATGCTAGTTACATAGCTGATCAGTTACGTCCTATGCATCCTTTCAACCAAAAAGACCTGGACAAGGGATATGAGCTGTACAACCAAATTCGCCAACATCAAGCATACTTGAATACGTTAAATACGATATCGTTGTCTTCGCACAAGCTGTCCCAAAATTCTCAACCCTCAACAAAATCGTGGTGGATGACGCTGGATTGCCATCTGATCAAGTCATGAACTCTTACAACTGCAAGGCATATCTTCGCAAGAAAATGTTCAGTTCTGGATCGAGCCCAAGCTATTCTTCCCACAAATCCGAAATGTTACATGGGCTACTTCATGCTGCTAGCCTTGCCGGTATAAAACTGACGACTTTAAGAGTCACAGCTCTACCTTTGCCATTCTTCAACGCGACGCAAATAAGCAGTAACGATGTGACTTTTTCAGCGTTGCAGAATATTCAGCATATCGATATTACCATCAAAGCCAGAAAGGAAGAATGGGAAGCCCGCGTCAAGATAGTTGTCCCTCGCCTTGCAAATTTTTTGAATTTCTTCTCCAATCTTGAGAGTCTTCGCATCGACCTAGGGGAACCTCAAACAAAACCAAAGTTCTCAATCCTTTTGGACCCGGTATTTGGAAGCACTGGTAATTTCCCAAAGCTACGCAGTCTTGACCTTCGTCATTTCTCGTGCACCAAAGACTTTTTCTCAGAGTTTCTTCAAAAGCATGCGGGTACACTAGAACATTTGAAACTTGATACAATGACGATGGCGAGTAATTGTCCTGGTTGGGGTAATGTTTTCAATACACTTGAAACTGATTTGAAGCTCAAGTCTTGTTATTTTACTGGTGATTGGCATGAGGGCTGGGGTATTGAAGAAGGCCCGACTTATCCAATAAAGCTTTCCACATCATATACTGGAACTCGGCCAAGTTCTCTGGGCGAAGTACTCCAGTACCGTGTTGTCAAGAAGTGTATGCCGGGGGGAGGCGTGTGTATAACCATGGACGAGATTTGGGCCGCCGCCACGAGAGAGTCACAACAAAGGGGACGTGAAACTGAGCGTGATGATAGTGCTGAGGATAGCGATAGCGAAGATTACGAGGATCTTTTAGACTTCGAGGATCTTGGCCACTACATTGACGATGACGGTGAAGATGATGATGAAGATGACGAAGAGCATAGCGATGACGAAGACGTTGAGGATAGTATCGATTGAGAATACTCATTTGAGAATTCTTGTAACGGCATATAAAATGGCGCTCGAAATACACAAACAATGGTTCGCATAGAGGATACCCATGATTTAAAATCATTTCTTGTCTCTTCAACATAACCAATTGTACATTTCCTAGTTATTTTTCCATATCATGAAGATATCAAGAGTTGGCTCGCATCAAAGAAGATGACTAGTTTTGGCTTCCCAACACAGCCCACGATCAAAATGTACAATAATCAATAAATAGCAATGCAAACTTGTATTCGCTCTACTATGGTGAAACTTCATGTGTATTCGGTTATGTGTACTATTTTTCCAGCATGCAATGAGGTTATTACACTATTTGTTACCTCAAGGTGAGCCAGTGTTTCTGATAGCCCGGACTACAATCCATCAACATTTGTAGATTCTAATTTTGAGATTCTGGAGATAGTACTTTAACATCTCACACCCTTTTGATACTCGAACTACTTTCAACATCTAGAAAGAACTGAATGTTCTAAGATTTTCGATTATGAAAAAGCAGTCCGCCCACACTTTTGAACATCCTAAGCTCTTCCGCATACATCAGAGTATCAAATGCCTACTCACCCCCAAATTCCCCCTTATCTTATAAAATCTCCGTCAACTACCCATCCACTTTATTCACTTCTCGCACACACATTCATCTTACATCTCAAACCTCGACGCTTCCATACCCTCCCATCCTTCTCTAAATTGAAGCACACCCTTCCCATCGAATCTCCATAGAATAATCAAGGATCAAGATTCCCACCCCAAACTTTTTACTACATCAACCTTATTATTCACACTCAATTCCGCATCCATCATCACTCTAAACCCGTGCTCCTCCCCCATCTCTCACACAAGAACTCCGCACGTGCCGTCATTCCTAGACATTCAACTCCTCGTTCTCGGTTAGCGTATCTTCTACCTCCTTTTTACTTCTCCCACTTCTCTTTTGTAAATTCTCTCATATAGTTACTTATCCGCTTACTCCAATCTCCCCAGCTATCCCTCAATATTCAAATCCACTTCTCGCATGCACTCAATCCGCTAACTCTGTATTTTTCTCTCAAAGCTAAGAATATCACTCATCTCTATCCTATCTCCCCAATCATCCCTCAATCTCCAATCTATTCTTCAAAATTCAAACCTCAAACTCCAAACCCTCCTCCCTTCAAACTTAAACCCCCATCTCTTCCCAGCCAAGTCAAGTCAAGCTAAACCCAGCCACGTACTTTGCCAACTTCATACCATTCATAGCCCCTCATTCTTCACCATCCTTCTCTCCTTCTCTCCTTCTCTCCTTCTCTCCTTCTCTCCTTCTCTCCTTCTCTCCTTCTCTCCTTCTCTCCTTCTATTCATCCCTCCATCTCCCCAAGCCCCCTACCTCCAACCTCATCAAGTCGAAACCTATAACTACCATCCCATATTCCACATCCCTTCTTCCACATCCCATATTCCACATCCCTTCTTCCAAAATTCAAAGATACAAAATTCTCACATCACAGTAATTTGTTTCCTTCACATTCCTCTATCCCTCCATCCCTCCCCTTCCCTGCCTATCATAATATTCCCCTCCTACTCTCCCATCTTACCACTCTCCCATCTTACCTACTCATCTATTCATCTACCAACACACCAAAAAATCCACTTACCAAGCCAAAACAGAAGATAAACAACACACCTACCCATCCATCCACCTACCCACCTATCTCCTATCAAAACGATATAAGAAAGAAAGAAAGAAAGACACAGATCTCACAAGTACAAGGACATCAACATCCTCATATCAACATCCCCATATCAACCTCCCCATACCAATTCCCATCCAATCAAAACGAACATCACATATCAAACCAAGAAAGAAAACACAATACCTATCGAATAGATGAATAGATAGATAGATACCCGGCCAAGAACGAGATACCCGCGCAGTATATTTCGAATTAGCTACTTATTGATTATTCATATATGCACACACACATACAGAGAGAGACACACACACACAGAGAGAGGTTGACTGGATGAATTGATGGATGAAAATGGTATATGTATATAGTATAGTGGGTATCATAGATATAATTATTTCGAATGTTCGGGTCAAGAACTGAACTGGGAGAGGCTTATAATACAATCAAGTCCAACAGGATGCCATCGAACCAGAGAACACAACACAATGCAATGGAACGGCCATGAAACAAAGACAAAGTATCCACCCAAGTAAACAACTGCATACCTAGGTAATCACCAAAAACCAATATGCAGAGTCCAAGTATCCATACCCGATATTCCATCTGCATGCCTGCATCGAAAAGCTTTTACTCATTATCCATTCCCATTAAGAAATTATGTCATCCCCATTTCCCAACCTCATCACGAACCCCCCTTATTCTCATCATGTCCCTCAGGCACATAATTGGTTTCGCCCAACAATCCCCCCTGCTGACTCGTCATCGCCGTCTGCGTCCCGGGCTGCGGTTGCGTCGCGATACTTGGACCCGAGGGAGCGGGCGGCGGTACATTCTTACTGCTCGCCGCGTGTAATCTCTGATCTAGGGCTTTGAGAGCTAGGGCTCTTCTTCTCTCTGCTTCTGCTCTTGCGCCGCCGGGGGCAGTTCTTTGTGGAATGTATGAGGATTCACCTCTGCTGGCCGAGACATCTGCTGCGGAGAAGGGAGTGCAGATTTTGAGGGCGACGAGGGTATTGAAGATTGAGTCTGCGAGGGAAGCGATGAGGGGTTTGAGGGGACCGGGGAAGAATTCTGCGAAGGTGAAGGTTTCGGATGCGTCGCCGCGGAGAGTGGGGGATTGGTTGGAGTCGAGATCGGGGAAGGCGGATTTGTAGAAACGGAGGTAGGTGTAGGAGGCGAGGAAAGCGTAGGAGACGAGGAAGAGGGAGGAGATACTGAGGAGTTGGATGGCGCAGAGGGTGAGGATGGTGAGGAGATGGAGGGCGGGGAAGCGGGGGACGCGGAGAGAGAGGATACCCTTGAAGAGGGTCACGGTGTGGGTTGGTACGAGTTGAGAGAAGGCGATTAAGAAGGAGATTTGGAGGGGGATGGTTCCGTTTATTGAGCTAAGACTTTTGCTGAGGTGTTAGTTGATTGAATGGATAGGTAGATAGATGGATAGATGCGATTTCAAAGAGAAAATGTATAAAATTTGAGCAACTCACGTCCAGCTCATATCACCCGTAATAGCAAAGAAAAAAACCAACGTCCCAAAAGTCAAGAGATTAGGAATGAGTGATGCGACTACAATGAACTTTGCGAATTCCCTCGATGTCCATGCTCGCTCCAGATATCTTCCTCCATAAAATAACGTCACTCCAGCGATCCCCAGCGTAAACACATTATTTTCCACCAATGTCGTTGTCAAAAACGTCCAGGGATAAACAAAGGATAATTGAGGTACGAGCGAGAGGTATGGAACTACCACGTGAAGCTCTGCGGCGGTTTCCTTATTCCATTGTTTGTATCGAATTGCGGCACTCAGAATGGATTCAGATAGTAATGCGATGAGTAGTATCCTCGTCACTGGAGGAATATTTAATCTTGGTGGCATATTTATGAATATGTAGAAATACCGTAGAAGTAATGTCAGACCCTTCCTCCTTGATAAGTAAGTAGGTAGGTATGGGAATCTGCAGTTCGAAAGTTGATGTACGATATATCAGGTATATCTTCAATAAAATAAAGCTTTGGTGATTTTCATCAAGCTTTCCCTTATTAAAAATAAAGTGTCATCAAATCCAATAAGGGTAGGATGTTGAGCACAGACCACTTCAATTGTTTCGGCCTTGTAAACCCAAAATATCCAGCCTCAAACATAAGGCTGACGCAAGAGAGAATAAGATCCGGCACCTGCATGTTTTGAAAAATTGTAAGCCACGTGAAGGGTGTGAGGCTATGGAGATGTACTAAGCCCGATTTGTGACTAGCTCCAACTTACTCCGTCGATTCCTGGCCAGAAACATGCCGGGTAGAAATTCCGAAAATGTGGGCGAAGTACGATTGGCAGAAGTTCATCCAGATTGTCGATTTTTTTAAATTATTTATGCGTGTGATGGATATGGATGCAGGTTGTCAACCAACACTTTCCAAGGTTTGATGGGAAGAGAAGGGAGAGGCGGTACCGGAAAATGCAAAGAGCAAAGAAAGAATCGTGAATCGTATATGCGCAAGTAAGAATGATGGATGTGTGGTGTGGTATGGGATAGTGCCTAGGTGATACAGTTGGAAGTTCCACGTACCTGAATTAACTAACCCACATACTAGGGATACCTTAGCTGCCTGGGTATGTACCCTCGTACCTATCGATAATGTGAATAGATTCGCGGTGTAGTATTGGTGTCACGGTGGAAAGAGAAAGGGAAAGGGAAAGGATGTGATGGGTTGGTTTGATAAAAGTTATGAGATTCTCTTCCCATCACTCGTAATATTTGGAACCCCAGGGCAGGGGAGGGATACATTTGAACTACTGCTGTGCATCATCATCACGCCTAGGCATCAGTATTTGGATTGGATTTTTATTATTTTCAAATTCATATTCATATTCATATTCTAGTTCTAGCGAGTCGTTCATCAATTCTCTTCCCTGCTAACTATCTAGTTTGTTTCGCACTTCCGTCCCTTATTCTTAGTCGATCAAGAAAGATGGAGAGAAAAGCGTTGATCTTGGAGGTAAGTCACATATCTGGTATGTAGGTTGTGATCCCCGAGACCAGCGTAAAGTCGTGCGTGTAGTAATACTGTACCTAGGTAGGAGGTAGGGAGGCAGGTCGGTAGCAGATAGTATCTCGTTACAAGTCTTCATCACCAGAGAATTTGATCATCTGAATTGTCATTCATGGTCAAGAATTAATATACTCCGTATCGTAGAGATAGGAATGAATCTTACTCGGGGATGAGACGTTGATCAACAACGGGAACAGGAACAAACTGTTGTCGTACTTCCATGGATCTTTCATCCGAGCTCAAGATAGGGAGAGATTCTAAAGTCGTGCTTTACCTGACGTGGTAGCATTTCTTCTTGAGAAACTAGAAATAATACTATATACGCCGTACGATATAATGATAGGATAATGTATATTTATTACTGACAGGCATTTCTCTTGTCACACACACATACTAGGTACACACACACACACGCACATTTTTTAGTATCTATCTAACTTTCAAACAAACCGACCATCGCCACCCCATTCCATCCCACCATCTTTATTGAAGCAAGCAAGCAAGCAGCAAGCAAGCAAGCAAGCAAGCAAGCATTACATATCGTACGCCGTTGTACATGCTAGCTACCTAGTAAAAGTAGTACACCCTACCTACCTACTAGGTACTCGAATCCAGCTCGCCTATCACATAATGCATTCTTAAATGTACGGAAGCATCTTCAGCCAATATCTTAAGCCTTTAATGGTCTAGAAGAAAGTTCAGAAAAAGACTCCATTTCTTTAGTTCTAGCCAAGATCTCCATTCTTTAGTGTGTGATATGTAACCACCCAATTTTGACTCGAAGAAATTCCCGTTGCTTATTATTAACCAGATACCGTAGTCAGTCAAAGAGTTTTGGAAAGTTGGTGAGAAAGCCAAGTATGCTTTTACTATATTATACTATGCTAATACAACCTAGGTAAATTTAGTCAGGACATTGACACCAAATCCGTCATTTTCAAGATTCGGATTTTTCTCAAATTCGAATGGTCAAATGTGGTATATGTATATAGTAATCAATCTCGCTGTCGGCTTTATCCATCATACAATCAACAAAGATTCGGAAAATTAATATCAAAGAAAGGCATCAAGGGAATGGGAAATATGAATGGAAATGAAAATGGAAATGAGAATGGGAATCTCCAGTCAGTTTCATGTATGAACATCGAAATGAAGGGGATCTTTTTTCCCTCCTCTTTTCTCCATTATTTATTAACCGTCCTATCATTCGCAAGCGGTTGGTGGACTCAAGCCATAGATAGATAAATAGATAGACAGACCTTCCACATACTACTATACTACTGTACATGCATCTCGATTTTCGATAGGGCAGACGATCACACTTCCCATGGTAAATTTTGGATCCCTTGTCATTTGTTTCTTCGGCTTGGCTTCTTCTTCTCTGTATGGTCCTGTACCGGTCTCTTTTTAGTTCTTTCGTTTCTTTTGAATCCCCGTGTCCGTCCGTCTGACCCCTGGTAGGTTTATTATAGTAAGGTAGTAGGTGGGTGGGTGAGTGGTACATGATCTCCAGACAGATAGGTAGGATGCTTTTTGACAAGTCTTGGATGGGATCAATGATAAAGGATTGTACGGTAGTATCTATGGTATAGTAGCACCGCACTGTATGTATAGATTGGCTTCCCGAGTAGATTGTGATTTTAGATGTGGATATGGATGTGGATATGGATACGGATGGATGTGAATGTGAATGCGAATGTGGATGTGGATGAAGTAAAGTATAAATGTTCCATGACTGCCATGCCATGACTTTCATTGCTGTTTTTGAGGGGGCTGCTTGTCATGCGCATACCTGACTACTTGTAGCCTGAGGCACTCTAGAAATAATCCATGCCACCGCTTCCATTGATCTCAAACCCTCTCTTTGCCTTTGTGATGAACATGCCGCAATGGTAGAAGCACAAGCACACGCAACCAACAGATGAGAATCACATCTGTGATGATAGTAAATACCATCTTCGAGATGAGATGTGCAATTGACTTTCTTCACATGCTCATATATGATATATTTATCTGAGCATTTCACGCATATAGCACATACATATTTATTCTTTCCCTCTCTCCATCTCCATCATCACTTCTGACCTCACTCGGTCCATCATTCACATAACATTCGTGATCGCTTCCAATCCCAGCGTCACAATACCTGGTCCTGAAGGGTCATACAATTTCATCTTTTCGACACAGAGGAAAAGAAATACCTACTCGGGACTAGTCCGTACTCAATGGGGACTAGCCCACTTGAATAAGATCGTCCCTATTGCACTTTCATACCCTTTTTTTACTTTTATCCAATGATTCCTCCTCCCCTGCTTGAATTCTTTTGGATCTCTACCCACTTCCCAGCCAATCATCGCTCGTCTCTGGCTTTTTTAATATCGTCCTTAGCTTCTAGCTACAAGCCGGCAAGTTGCAACGAACAAGTCTCTTTTTCATCCATTCCTCAATCTCGAATTCAACACAGCCCGCAAAAAAAAACATAACTACAACAACATAAAATCCATTTTACATACATCGACAACATCACCACCACCATCTCAACAATTGAAATTCACGGTCCTTACAAGATTCCATCCAGCGCGCAAATCATCATACATTTCAACCCCACGATACCACCGCATTCCATTCGATCCCATTCAATTCAATACCCCAAATCCGATAGAGATACCCCATACCTCAAATTTCGCTTTTTCCACTGTACTGTACTTGAATTCAATATACATCAACCTCTGAAGCTACACCATCACGAATCAGACCTCTTTTTGATCATCACCATATCAAATCGAAGAAACATCGATACAACCACAGCAGCCATAACCACAGCGACAACAACGTCTGGCCTTCCTCGAAGTCGAACGAAATAGCAATGACGAAGGAAACTTTAACCTCGGACAAGGTGAACTATATCATTTGGAAGTACGTGTTTTCCTCGTGATCCATCCATTCGGGCTTTCTCTCTCGTTCACACACACATATAACATACATATACATACACAATACATACACACATTCTCTCTCTCTCTCTCTCTTTCTCTAAATCCAGGTACGGAGCGGCTCTGAGATTACATTTCGCTAACAGCAATTTATTGTACTTTGTACTCTAGATATTTAATAGAATCAGGTATGTACATGTACATTGAAGAAGAGAAAAGATAAGGAAAGGAAAGGGCAAGAAGGATAAGGATGAGGATGAGGATGAAGATGAGATATTCAAAATCCTCATTCAGTCTTTTTCCTAATTATCTTGGGTTCTTGAAGCCTGAGGTAATCCAAAGATGGTAGTTGGGGGGAATTATTGTATGAAGAATCATTGAACTGATCAAAATTCTTTCCTCTCTCTTGCAGGTTACGAAGGAGCGGCTCGTCACCTTTCAAAAGAGTGGGACGTTCAACAACCAGATTTATTACCATTTGCGCCCCATGTCGGAAAGCATGCACTAGTCTCCGTTCTAAACAAAGGTCTTCTTTATGATGCATATAACAGAGAAGCATCAAGGGTATGTTGAAATCGTTACCTTTTCTATTTTTATTTGATATAGTTTTTTATGCCATCACACATGATTTCTTTTTTGGGTTTTGGTTTTGGTTTTGGTTTCGGTTTTGGTGACTTTGATTTAAATCTTTCATTTGACAAAAAATCACTTTCATTCATCCCTCAATTCATGCCTCTTCACTCACACTTCACTTGATAAATCTTTTACACTTCATTCCACACTCCACTCCACTTCACTTCATGCTTCATCTTTCTTTCATACATCTCCTCTCCCAAGACCGTTTACTATTTAATTGGTTGGATATATATCAACTACAGATACTCTTTTCAATTAACACCCTTCTTTTAGGCATTCCGTCAACACCAAGGACGCTCTCAAGATGTTTCAGATTCAGAAATACCAATGGGTGTTTTTGGTCCCTTGGAAATAGCAAACAGAACTATTCCCATCATCACATCACCTCAAGAACCTCTCAACAACAATGAGGATTTGGAAATTGCTCGGAAACATCAACTAGAAGAAGAATCAATTTCAAATTCAAATGGTCCTCCAGGAAAGAAACCACGACTTACCAATGGTTATGAAAATGGTATTTCAAATGGAACCACAAACGGAAATGGAAGCTCAAATTACTACGATTCGGCTTCAACGCCCATGGAAATTGATGTTGATCAAAATGGTGATGGCCACGCGTATCCCTCACCAGAGCAACTGCCATCACCAGTCACTGCCACCATTGGACCCGAAAGGGGTACCCAGTCCGAGAAAGTCACAAATCTCAAAACCGAAACATTGTACCTAGACTTATTGGATGACAATGTATCAAAATCGACCGTATTATATCGTTGCGAATGGAATCCAAAACTACCAAATCTCTTGGCCGCGGGGGGAACTGAATCATTAGCTCGAATGTGGGATCTATCAAGTACGGTCGCCGATCATATCAATGGAACTAATAACCCTAATGCTTCAGGCATGAATACGAATGGGATTGTTCCACCGTGTATTCCTCTTCTCCAGCCTCTCGCGCCTCAACCGACAATGGTCAATGAAGTTACCTGGTCTTCGGATGGAAACCATATTCTTGTTTCGAGTGAGGAACCTGATGGAACCGCAACTGTTACTGTTTGGACTGCTAAGGGTCAACTATTGCACACCTCTAGCCCAATGGAAGGTCCAGTCGTTTCTTTGAAGTGGAACTTCTCGAATACATTATTTTTGACAGTTTCTCCAATTACACTTAAAGGGCTTTCTACACCAGCATCAACCTTGACGGTCACTTCGATGTCCGACTTTACAACAATACAACATACGATACCATCGATGCCAATTTTCGAATCCCCGCTGGAAGGTCTATGGATGAGTGATGAGGATTTCATGGCTTACGGAAATGAATTTCTACAGATATTTCGATACACGGATGGAAAGATCAAATATTTGACGAAATATGAACATCGTGACGATCATCGTGTAACGCATGCTACTTTCGACAGGGAATCAAAGTTACTTGCTACTGGTAGTCAAAGTGGTATGATTGATGTAGGTACTTTCACTGTTAAGCTTGTTCATTACTAATATTCTTAGATATGGGATGAGAAAGGTCGTTCTCGAACATTCAATGCTCATACCGGACCAATTACTTCCCTTGAATGGCAACCATTACCTCCATCTGATTCGGAGAGTGAAGGCAGTGAGAGCAATGAAAGGTTGTTGGCTTCATCTAGTGAAGATGGCGCCGTTAGCATTTGGAATGCCAAATCTTTGGAGCCAAAGCAAAAATGTTCAATGACAATTGACTCGACTAGTGTTTTCAAGGTTAAATTCACTCCAGATGGCGCATTCATTGCTGGTGCGACTAGTGATCGAGTTTTTATTTGGAAAGTCGACGATGCTTACTTTCCTCGAGCAACTTGGAATAGACCACCTGGAAATGGCTGGCAAACACCACAATCAACTGAGTCAAATGGAGAAGATGAACATGCTCTGAGTTGGGATGCACATGGTCAAAAATTGGCTTATGGTTGCAATAGTGTGGTATGTATCTTGTGTGTTGTTGTTCGAACGAATACTAATGGGTTGTATAGTTGGCAATCATCAATTTTAAACGCTGATCCTGGAATTACCTGTCGATATAATACAAGAAAATGAAAGGCGTTGACTTTTAAAATAATCCCCTGTCACTTTGAAGACAACAGGAGATGACAAGAGACACCGAGTGAAGTTCCTCATTATTCAGCATGATGGAGTAGGCAAAAAGTGTTTCTTTCCGTCACAAAAGAGGTATTGAAATGATCATGAATAGATCATACATCCCATCGTATCTACTATAGTAGAGAATCGTCAAAGAAAATACGAAGTTGCGGAGCATGAACATTGGAACGGAGTCTAGAGCTGCAAAAAGATAAGATAAAGGCAAAGCAACATTTGATACTGACAATCGCGACACAAAGAAATCCATTACACCTGGGTTGACCGTATTGGATGCATGAGAGGGAAAGATACGATTGATGATTTTAAATGTGTATCATAGAAATGTTAGAGAATTGGGTGTCGGGCGTATTGCACATTGAAAGAATTGGGAGTTTGGGATGATAGGATTGGATAGTATGTTTTTAGGGGATTGGGATGGCATGGGATTGGATTGGAGTGGAGATCAAAATCAGGGTGGTGAAAGTGCTTCTGCTTATGTGTAGATTATAATTCATGGATGGGAGAGTGAGGTGAAGGATGAGAGAGAGGGTGAGAGATTGTGATTGAGAGATTGTGATTGAGAGATTGTGATTGAGAGATTGCGATTGAGAGATTGTGATTGAGAGATTGAGAGGAAGTGGAGTTGGAAATGAAGAAGAGGGCGGTGGATTGTATAGCGATGGGTTACGAGGTGACCTGCGGAGATGTAGGAGGAGGAGAGAATAGGTGACGAGGGGAGGAGAAGGAAAGAGAAGTTAAGAAAGGATTGGAGATGGAGAGGAATCACTCGAAATCAAAAGCAATTCGAAATCAAGAATCAAGAATGAAAAATGATATAGCATGACTTGAATGTGTTTTGGTGAGACTCGAGAGTGATAATCTGTTGTTTGCTTGCGAGGGGTGAGCAGGGTGATTGTGAGGATTGCGAAGGTATGATTGTAATATTAGGTAGGTAGGTATCTATGATCTTTATAGTAGAGTGAGGGTGAGATAATCTACCTAATGATGTATTGTGTTGTGCTGTGTGGATTTGAATTGAATAGGTAGGGTCAAATGGTGTCGTATTGTATCGTATTGTGTCGTATAATATTGTATTGTATTACTGTAGGGATGAGAGAAAGTATATTTAATATAATATAGGAATAACCTGAGCTTTAATTACCTAGTAGTGGGCGAGGTAGATGAGATAGATGAAGTAGATGAAGTAGGTAGATGAAGTAGATGAGGTAGGTATTAGGTATATAAATTGAAGAAGAGATGTTGATGGGAACTGGGTTTGGAACTTGGGGTTGGTAGGGCTGGGGGAGGGGTGAGGGGTGAGGGGTGAGGAGTGAGGAGTGAATGTGTAGGAAGTAGGTAGGTAGGTAAATAGGTAGGTAGGTAGGTAGGTAGGTATCTGGGGGAGAGGGTCTGGGTAGTACGTCTGGAGCAGGGGGTCTGAGTAGTAGGTAGTAGGTAGTAGGTAGTAGGTAGTAGGTAGTAGGTAGTAGGTAGGGGAAATATGGGGAAATATGAGGGTATTTGGGGTTGGGATGAATGTGATGGATGTGAGGATGTGATGTGAGGACGTGATGGATGTGATGAATGTGATGGATGAGATGGATGAGATGGGGTATAGTATATATAATATATATATGTAGATATATATTTATCTATTATATATATTATATAAACTCTTCTTTTGATTCTTTTATAGAGATAGATAGATAGGTGTATAGGTAGATAGGTATATAGATATTTAAGAATATTATTTCTATTACTATTACTATATCTATTACTATTACTATATCTACTAGATAAATTTAAGTAGAATCCTTAGTATAACTATATCATAGCTATATATTTTTAGTATATTCTCTCGATAAGAGTTTTACAGCTATTTGATAGTAATCTAGTTTTTAAAGGATGTTATATGAAAATACTATCTACTAAGTAATTATTATTAGTTTCTATCTTTTGATAAGACTGATTTGAAAATAGATATTAGAGATGTGGAAATTTAGATTATAGGAAGGTTAACTGAGATATAAGTAATAGGAACGATAAAGGTTATATAGAGGAGTTAATAGCGATACGTGTAACGAAGATGATATCAAGACCATTCAAGTGTGTTGGGTCACGTGATAATCACATGCGTAGAAATGTGAGTATCGGAGGGATGTGATCTAGAATTCTGTATCATTCTGCAAAGATACAATTACACTTAAAGAATGAACACGACCATCTCCCACATCTCATACTCACCAGAAGAAAACACGTGAACAAAGCCCCCAGCCCAGTCCAGTACGCACACCAAACTCACCTAACCCATCACCCACCCACTCCTGGGCAACACAAAGTTCACAAAGACACCCAAGCCAAGAAATTTTTGCACCGAGAGAAAAAAAAACCGGATCCAGTCACCCAAGCACCAACCAGCCATGTCTCACCTATCTTACCGGCACGTCCAACCATTGATTCCGATAATCCCGATCGTATGATCGTAATCTTGGGAGTTTGTGCGCACGCTCGTTGTGGATGGTTGTGGTATTGTGTTTGAGGATGAGGATGAGGATGTGCAGATTTGTGTTTTTTTTTTGTGCTTGGATTTTTTTATGAAAGGGATGGGAGGGAAGGTTAATGAAGAGCGAGGTTTTGGGTGAGGTAGGGTAGGGTAGGGTGTGATATGTATGTATGTATGGTTTTGGTGTGGTGTATTTAGGGTGTGACATAATTAGATGAGAGATGAGATTGTGGGATTGTGAGATTAGCTGTTAGTGAGATTTTGAGATCGTGTGGATATGAATGAGGATGAGAATGAGGATGACTTTTGGTTTTATGATGGATTTGGATCTGAGTTAATAAGGAATGATAAAAGGGAATGGAATGGAATGGATGGAAGATTTTAACTTGTACGTATACGAATGTAAGGCGAGAAGGAGAGAGGAATGTTCAAAGATACGATAACCGAGTTAGGCAAGCAGGAAAAGCCAAGGCTAGATGTGATGCTATTGTAAGAAAGTTAAGCCACTCAAGCCACTTTCCGTTTTTTACTGGCAGTTGTGGCTGATAAACCACGGGAATATCCATGGATGCGTGTGATGAAAAAAAGCCACGTCAAGTTACAATTGGGGGCCAAGTGGCATGTGACGATCGAAAGCCAATTTAGATTGAGGCGAATACTTATGTGTTGTGCAGGGTGAGTTTGTGGTTTGCGGTTATTAAAAGAGGGGAAGAGTTTGAAGGAGATAACGGGAAACGGGGGATCGTGAAGCTACCAAGGCCTTTTTTTGGTTCATGGTGTGGTTGAATCGAAGGGAAAGAAGGTAATTGAATCGTTGGTGATTGCGGGGGATAAATTGGTGGTGCAGGACTGGAGTTGGTCTTGCTTGCATGGCATGACATGACATGACATAACATGACATATAAGCGAATGAAACGGATGAAAAGGGAGAGTGTTATGGACAGTTTGCTAAATGTGTCTGATCGATTGATTGTTGAGGATTGTTGAGAGCAATACATGGGAGAGGCGGTTAGGAATCGAGAAGAAGAAAAGAGTGATGATGAAGCACATGAGTTAAGTAGATGTATCATGTTTGTGACTTAGGTTGTGGTATGGACATGCAGATGGGCTGCGCTTCTGTAGGAGATGCATGTGCGACGGGTTAGTGCAGGGGAGGAAGTACCTTCTGTACTGTAACGTACACTGGACATGCGTGAGGCGATTGGAATTGGGGTGTGATGTGATGTGATGTGCGGAAAGAAGAGAATGAGTTGAATCGATGAATCGATGAATAGATGGATAGATGGATAGATGGATGTATTACTAAGTATATTCTTACATGGGTACTTGAAAGATGACGAGTTGGCAAGAAACTCAACCCGATAACAAACACAAGGCGAACAGGATTTCGAGGTGGGTATTCGTCATCAAGCTTCTATCAAATCTTACAACGTGGAAACGTGGTTGTGGGGAGGAAAGGTAAAGTTTGGAAGAGATTTTTAGAATGTTCTCGAGTTGAACAACGGATTGGGTTGATCAAAAGTCAGTCTAGTGAAAGGAGGGAATGGGTTGTCATTTGAAACAACCTTAAATACGATACGACGTGCAAACAACTCGGAATGTGTGAAGTGGGTGAGGGTAAGATACGATCCTGACTCATGGAAACTTGTATTTTATGGTTTCAATTTCTTGAGTGAAGTGTGTAAATCCTCCGTACCTACATGACAAAAGAGCATTTGATGCTCCGTGTAATTATCATGTACCGCCCGGAAGAATAAGGTAATAATGCCGGTTGGGGGCGCTGTCCGCACGGCTGCACTGCGGTTGACGGCTGTCAGATGTATTTCTTAATTGAGATGGTGAGCCGAAATAGACCGAGGAGGGGAATAGGGGGTGTGATTTGATGTGGCTTTGGGTGGTTTCGGGGTACTGGATGGCTTAGGTGGGTATCCGAATTGTGTCGTAGATGCTAAACTGCATTTAGGAGATAGAATCGCAATAAATCGTGTAGATTGGTAAATCTAGTGGAATGAATGTTCGACTTTGAATGGGGAATTCAAATTGAGATGATTGTTTAGATTTACCTGACTACGATGACATCTAATAAACTCTATTGTTGACTACTACCTCAACCATTGGATCTACCCGGGAAATGTTATTCCTTCTTTTGTGACTTGTCCTTAATCAAGTAATCAAACGTGATAGGACTAAACTACGAAAAGGAAAGGGAATGTTCACCGTTTATGATAACTAACCAGGATTTCGATGGTGGTTAGTGTTGCGTACATACTTAGATACACTTGGGTTCTGCACAGGCGAAAGATGTACAACAGTGTGGGTGGGTGGTGGCACTGAGTGGGTGAGATCCTGGTTCCATATCGAGTTTTGTCGTACAGTTTGAGGAGTGAGCATGAATTAGTTTACGGCAACTCATTGGCCTTGTCAAATTATGAATGCTTTGGATGCAACTGGACAACTGGGCAACACACCCTTTTTCTCACATGTCTTATAAGTAATTCGTAATGTGCCTAGTATCTCATTAGTATCTTAGTATCTACCATCCTGGTACCTGCCAGATGAACATGGGCTTAATTGATTCCGAGAGGATTGATTGAGGCTGTGATACACACACAATATCTTACCTACCGTGCGCATCTACCACATCAATGCATGACCCTCTCTTGTGGTGGATTGTGGTTAAGACCGCCGCACCATCCCCCCATATCTTCTATGAACGGATGAAGATCATGTTTCCTTTCGTTTTGCAAACCCAAAGTCAAAGAATACTTATTCAACGCCTCTCGCCGCCTCCAAATGTTTGACCAACACATGGCTGAAGAATATCATGCTTCCCTTCTCTCAATCATGATATCCCAAAGTCCTTTTGCATCAGCGGCTTTGTGGAACCTTCCCCATCAATCCAAGAATCCATTTGTTCATCCACCTATCCCTCCATCCATTCATTCATCCATCAATTAATCAAATGCATTGCCTAGGACTAATAAGCATTAAGCAAGTCAGAACCGAGCCGGGCTGAAGAACAACCTACCTGCCTACCAACACAATAATCCCTTTCCAAAGACCCCTGACACCACACAAGAGCCTGTGCAGTGAGCATTGTCATCCATTTCGCGATGCCATTTCCGAATGCAACTGTAACCATCCTCAACTGGTCTCGCTGGTGTAGCTAGCTTACCACTGGGCACCCACACCATCTTTTTAGATTTTGTGGATTTCAAGCCTCGCCGAGAACACTCCACTTATATTTCTACAGGGGGATACACGCAACCCCCCACAGCCCTTTGTGCCTTCCCAGCGAACTTTATCCACCTTGAATCATTCCCTTGAAAGTTGAGACAATCAGTGGATATATGTTTGGCAGGGCCCTTTATTAGGGTCAATGGAAAAGGGTCTGTCGGGTCTTGACTAATAAATAGTTCCAACCCTCCCTCCCTCCTTCACTTGGTCTGAGGCTGATGATTAAGGTTGGACATGAACACATACTTGAACAGGTTAAGACGCAAGAGACAAAAATTGGATGAATGGATTGCTATCAGTCAAATTCGACTTTGCGTGCGGAATGTTTTGATTGGATTATCACGATTTCCTTTTTCCCTCTTTTCTATGGCCGTCTTGGCGAATAGTTAAAATCCGGCGGCTGCAAAGTAAGAAGCGGAGGAGACTTGTTAAAAGTATGGAGACTATGGCACTATGGAGACTATGGAGATGATCTAATTTTTTTCTTGAAATTTGATCGGAGTTTAAATTTTGATGGAGACTTCCTTCTTTAGTCCATCGGCCTCTGAAATCACTTCCCAATAGAGTTTAAGACTTACGAGTTCTCTTTATTAATCTTCCGACACTATGAAAAAGGAAGGAGTCAGTCATTAGTCACGTGTGCTGGGGTTACGCTTGAAAATTGTTATCTTTTTCAAGCTATTTAAGAAAAGAGCGATCGGCGGCGGAAGCTTTCCTTAAAGGAGTACTAGTTGAGAAGAAACCATGGACTGTTTTAGTTAGCTTGTTGACATCGTAACAACAGTAAGCGAATACTCTAAAAAGAGCTAATTCCGCTCTCCGTGTACCTTGAATATTACCTTTATTTGTTTAGGAAACGTTTTTAATCCTCAGAAAATTAATTAATTCAAAAGTAGTTTGGTCGTGGGTTAGGTGAGTTATCGAGCCGATTTTATACCAAAATTCAACCTGTCCGCTCGTCATCTCAAATGTAGAAGAATCTTTTCGTTTTCGATTGAATCAACGTGCGAAACGAAGAGAATCATAATTTCAATGACGGCGCAACTCGCATAATCGCATGTCAGATAACCTCAGTAGTGATTTGGAAAGAGCTACAAAGATAGCTTCGAACTAGCTTTCAGACGACATTCACTAAAAGCTCGAATTTCCATTATTTAACCCTGCACGCCACGCTTTTTGGCCGTCAAACGAAGCTTTTCGGTCGCGATTTCAGAACACAACTTAGCTTCTTCAACGTCGCTACAAGGGCTTCGAGATAGAGGACATTAATCTTGTTGGAGAACAATTGTTGTTGTTGATCTCAAGGATTTATCGACAAAAGATATCTTTCGCCAAGCTATTTCATTGAGGTGGTTGGGCGCGTAATCGCCAGCACATAATTCCGACGCATCTCAAATTCGCGATCGCATGCTATAATCACTGATGGCGGCGCATCATCCATCACCCCCAGCGGGCATGCAATTGCATCACCCTGCTCACAATGGTCCAGCTCCCTCGGGAATGGCTCAACAGCAACCAAACTGGCCGGCTCCTGCGCCAACGCCAATGCAACAGCTAGCTGCCATGAATGAGTCTGTATGGCTTCAAATTGGTAAGAATTACTCACTATATGCATCACATAAGTCACTAATTTGTATGATAGGAAGCCTAGCAGAGCTCTTAGGCAACAATGATGAGGCTCTGGCCGCGTATGAACATGTACTTCGCACGAACTCAAGATCTATACCGGCGATGAATGCCATAAGTTCTATCCTTCGCGCACAAGAGAATTTCGCCAAAGCGGTTGAATATCTACAAAATATCCTCAAACTAGACGGGAATAATGGAGATGTTTGGGGTAGTCTTGGTGAGTGTGACCTTTTTTGGCATTGCGCAATCAATTGCTGTTCAAATACAATACTAATATGTGATAGGACACTGCTTCTTAATGATGGATGATTTACAACAAGCGTATTCAGCTTATCAACAAGCTTTATATCATCTCCGGGATCCCAAGGTTAGTAAATTCATGCGCGTTTTGTATCTCAAGCCTAACCATTCACTTCAGGAGCCGAAACTTTGGTATGGTATCGGAATACTATATGATAGATATGGTTCTCTTGAACACGCCGAGGAGGCGTTCTCGCAAGTTATGAGAATGCAGCCAGATTTCGAAAAGGCCAACGAAATTTATTTCCGCTTAGGTATAATTTACAAACAACAGCAAAAATATCAACAGAGTCTGGAAGTAAGTCATCTGATCGAAAATTCAGTGATATGTGTTCCTAACTGCTTTTAGTGTTTCCGATACATTGTCAGTGTACCACCAACTCCATTGACAGAAGAGGACATTTGGTTCCAGATTGGACATGTTCACGAGCAACAAAAAGATGTAAGTCGGAAAGTTGGAATGTGATTGGATGATTCTGACAGGTTGGTTGTAGTACGATAATGCCAAAATTGCCTACAAGCGTGTTCTCGATCGGGATCCAAAACATGCAAAGGTCCTTCAGCAACTTGGATGGCTGCATCACCAACAGAGTACCAGTTTCCAAAGTCAAGAGCAGGCCATTGAGTACTTGGAACAATCTGTCGGTTCCGGTAAGACTCGTCAAATACGATCGGTCTCACATTTCACACGCTAACACGTGGCAGATCAAAGCGATGCACAAAGTTGGTACCTCCTCGGTCGGTGCTACATGTCACAACAGAAGTACCCCAAGGCATACGAGGCCTATCAGCAAGCTGTTTATCGAGACGGACGGAATCCAACTTTCTGGTGCTCGATTGGCGTTTTGTACTACCAAATTAATCAGTACCGAGATGCGCTTGATGCATATTCCCGCGCGATACGCTTGAACCCGTACATCTCCGAGGTCTGGTACGACTTGGGTACTCTGGTAAGTTTGCTTCATCTTTAGCCGGTCGTGTTTGAGACATTGTTAATCGTTTGTATAGTATGAATCATGTAACAACCAGATCAACGACGCTTTGGATGCTTATCAACGTGCTGCCGAACTTGATCCCAACAATGTTCATATCAAAGCTCGTCTACAATTATTGCGAAGTGGGCAAGCCAATGGTATGCCAGGTCAGGCAGCTGCTCCTCTACCACAAGATGTACATCCTCAAGCTTATCAAGCCACTGGTGCTGTTGGCCCTCCTGGGCCTCAATGGGGAAATCCTGCTCCTCAAGCGCAAGCGCAAGGACCACCTGCAGCTAATGGATGGGGAAGTAGACTTGCTGAAATTAATCCTCCTTCTCAGCCACCAAATCCTTTTGATCAACGAGGAGCTGATCGTGGTCCAATTCCACCTGCACAACGTGTACCAAGCCCTAGACAAGACCAACAATGAGACCATATCCCTGGCACTGATGCTCGTCAACAACTTCCACCTCGTCCTCGTTCCCCTCAACGGGCTCCCATTGATATGAGGGACCCTAGAGACCCCAGGGATCCTAGAGATATAAGAGATCCTAGAGACCCTAGAGATCAAAGAGACCCTAGGGACCCCAGAGATCCAAGAGACCCAAGGGAGCAAAGGATCCAAGAGGACCTAGAGAATTCAGACGGAATCAAAGATTCTCGTGTCGACCCTCGTGCCGCAGACCTTCAGCCTCGTGATCCCAGAGACCCGAGAGATCCTAGAGATCAAAGGGATCCAAGGGACCCAAGAGATCAAAGAGATCAGAGAGAACCCCGTGACCCAAGAGACGCCCGTGACCACCACCCTCTAGGTCCTTACCCAGGTCCTGGGGCGGGAGCAGCATCGGGAGCACAGCCACCTCCACCTGCTCACGCACAACAATCACAAGGTCCTCCTTCTCAGCCACAAAGAGTTGCGAACACAAACTACGCTCCTCCACCTTCAGGTCCTCCATCCGTACTACCACCAGCTCAAAGTGGAATGAACGGTGCTGGCCCTGTCCCTTTGCCTTCTTTTGGTCGTAACAGCCCTCGACCAGAAGTTCGGCCAATAATGAGTGCAACAATGCCATCTCCCAAGACTCCTTATTCCAATCAACCACCATACGCTCATCACACCGAAATCCCTGAAAGGAGTGGAATTGAAGGAGGCGCCCCACCCCCACCATCCGCTTTAGCTGCGGTAGACGCCCCATCTTCAGATCGTGGTGACAACAGACCACCATCCGTAGGTCCAAAGCGAATGCGTGAATGGGAAGACGAACCCGCAGTGAAGAAGCCAGCTTCAGATGAAAATCGTGCACGACTAGAAGACATGCACCACCGAAGACCTTCTACACCACCAAGTGGACCGGGCACAATTCTATAGAGCACGTCTGAAGCCTCGTCGTGTCGAAGATCAAAGAAGAATCGAAGAACAACGCCTTGCTGAAGAGCAGCAGAGACAAGCAGAGAACCAAAGGAGAGTTGAAGACCAGCGCCGCGCAGCTGAGGCACGTGCCGCTGAACAGCGTCGTGCAAATGAGATTATCACCCCCTCAGAAGCTGCGCATCATCCACCAACTCACGGCATGCAAAGCCATCCAGCAATGCAACAAGATTCGCGTCCACCACCTCCTCATACATACGAAGTTGGGACCACCCTCCTGCCCTTCCTCGGCAAGCTACTCCAATCAAAGAGGCTTCAATAGACGAGCGTGATCGTCAACAAGTACCGGTACCACACCAACCATCACTGGCTCAGCGCATGGAGCAAGCCCCCTCAACTCCCGCACAACCAGCACCTGCTGTCAGTGAACCGGAACGTGCAGCACGAAAAATGGATGTTGATGAGAATTACGATGATGATGGAGAAGAAGATAAAAAGGGAGGAATTGTTTCGGCTCAACCATCAGGACCTCCATCCGTCAGTGGTGATCCAAAAATCACTAGTCCAACAGGCGTTAATGGACATGCTGCAAATGGATTACCTAATGGGCAACCAAAGATTGAGACAAATGTTTAGGAGTAATATCGAAATCATGTCCTTATAGTTCCCCAATGGGCATCACCCGTTCGGTGAATGCCCTCAACACGAGCACATTGCAAAGATCAGAAAGCCTGCTGAACAGATTTGCAATGAGCGCGAGTTGTGTCTATCTCCAACTTGGACAGTTGCCACTACCTCATGTAAAGGGTGACGAGTATTTATTTCATTTTCTTTTCTTGTTATTTTTTTCTCGGCTTGGGGCGGAGCGGAAGGAGATTTGAGATTTGACATGACATGGTGGTGGTGGTGATGGGTGGAAAAAAATCTTTTTGAACTTGCTCGGCTCAGCTTAGCTTCTTTTCTGTTCCTGTTTATGATTTGATAGTTAAGGTTAGTTAAAGAAAGGAACGCACTTGGGGGAGAAAAAGAGGATCTCGGATTTTCATCTCATCAATGGTTGGGTGGAAGGGTGGGATTGGACATTATCATATCGCTATTGGCGATACATGAGGATTTGTTTTCTCGGGAATCGTGTGGGATGTGGAAAGAATAGGAAGATAAAGCAGATGGATGGATGACTTGAAGGGCCGACGGCCTCACGGTGAATAAACACATGGGATATCGGATGGATGAACGGGTGGAGGGATGGGGCATCTCGGTTTCTTTTGTAGCTAAGTATTAGTATGTGTGTATGTGTGTGGTGTGTACAGTGATCGATTGATATGATATGGAATGAAATGGTGGATCTATAGCCAGGAATATCAATCACGTGGAATGCATGTTGGGACTTTACTTTATTGTAGTTTTAATGGTTTGAGTGAGGTGATTTGATGTTATGTACTTTTATACAACGGATTGAGATCTTGATCCTCTATCAAGTAACAGCTACGACTGACTACACGCAGAAGAAATGAAAGATCTATAATCACTATCAATAAGAATTAACGAAGAGAGTAAGAGTACAACTCTGTAGCATTTAAGAAATGAATAGCGCTCGTTCAGGTACAGGAACACGAAACGTTGGGAACAACTGGGCTGTTTGTGCAATTCCTCGATCCGTCGATCCATCACTTATTACTTACTTTCGTTATTGCCACAAGGCAAGAAGATATCAAATTCCGACTTTTGCCTGTCAAAATTTTGTGAAATCCGGAAATTCAGATATGCAACAAAACTTTTGGATGATTAAATTTGACCAATGAAATTTAACAAGTCACGTCCTAGGAGACCGGTTGGTTATTGAAGCTTTCTCTTGAAGAGAATTTACTTGTACTTATGTTTGATTTTATTTTTCTACATTCGAGCTCACTTCTCGTCATCTTTCCTTCATCCTCTGATTATGTGTAATCTTGCCATCTCACAATTCAGCTAGCCATACAAATTGGTTATATCTCTTCTCTCCTCTTCTCATACTTCAATGTGAATTATCAATATCTAGCCACTCCAGCGACCCCATTCAATCCCATGCCCCTTCCAATTTTCCTAACCAACGCTTTTTTCAGATACCATTCCCTAGCCAATCCTCTCGTCATCTTTGCAAATGTTGGTCCACTTATCCTTCCCCTCTCGACGGCTTTGCCCAAGACATCAATCGCATCTGCTAAACTCCTTTCTTCACATACTAATTCATAAAGTTGGTTTCCTACAACTGTTGGTGCGACGAGTAGTTCATCAATGGAGGGAGGGGTACGATGTTGAGAGGATTGAAGAAGTTGGTCGGAGGTTTGAAGAGAGGTGTGAAGGATCGTTGTATTATTGGAGAGAAGGGTGGAGAGGGATTCGAGAGCGGATATTTCAGATTGCATTGCGGAGAGAGTAGTGAGCATAGATTTCTGTTGCGACTGAAGACCTGGAATAGAAGAAGTGGTTTGGGTAGTGTGATGAAGGCGTTGGGAGTGTAAAGCGTTAGCGAGTTTGTGGAGGAGCATATCCTTTTCTGGGTTAGGTGGAACAGGCGGAGCTGGAAGATTGGCGGATGAAGCATCGGGGATAGAGAGGGTTAATGGGGCATCAAGAAGGTCAGGTGGTGGTGGAGGTTTGGCTTGAGGTTGTGGTGGCGGCGTTTGTTGGTGTTGCTGCTGATATTGAGGCCATTGCTGATGGTTTGGATGTCCAGGGTATGGCTGTTGCTGTGGATGCATGTATTGAGGCGGCGGTGGAGGTCTGCCATTTTGCGGGGCCGGCTGTTGAATATTATTTACATTGTATGTTTGTTGTGGTGCATATTGCTGAGATTGTTGAGATAGTGGAGGTTGTTGGTATGACTGAGAGTATGAGGACTGTCTATATGAATCATCTGGTGGAGTTATTGGACTCACAGGACTATATGAGGGTTCCCGTAAGGTTTGCCTGGGCTGTTGCGGTGGCAATGGAGGGGCACTTTCATAACGAAGACTACTACTTCTTTGGGGAGCATGCGATTGCCTGTTTGGTGATTGCGGAATTGGCGGCGCATATCTGCTGCTATCATATCCAATTTGTGGAGGTATTGGGGGCAGCGGTGGCCCATCATCTCGCCGCGGGGAACTCGAAGGGGAGTAGGGTGCTGCATGATTTATAGGTTTCGGTGGGGGTGGTGGAGGGACGTCGTCGGTCAATGGACGTGGGGAAGCTGAACTTGGTATGGATCGAGGGACATTTGGTGGAAGTGGTGGTATAGGAGGGGGCAGAACTGTTGGTTGTGGACGTGGTGTAGCATTTTGTTGCTGTCTCGATATAACAGGAGGCTCTTTAGCAAAAACGTCTCGCAGAATCGCGAGAAAATCGAGCACATTGGATTTCTGTATATTTCAATTCATGAGTACATCTGCCAAGCAATTTCAAAGCTTCAATGTGCCAAGTTGTGCGACTCACATCCCAATAGTCTGGCCACCTCATTAAATATGGATGATAGACCTTCCCTTGCGGATCTACATGTTGACCTGCTCTTACTACCATTCCCTCCACTGGTGTCACATATACTAACGGAGCTTCGTGTGGATATGCGTGAGGTATCCATAATGCGATTGGGAATCTGTAGGTTGTGCCACGAAAATTCACCGGTAGGGTGCCAGAAAGATGAAGGAGGAGTGAAGATGCGCCATTCTCGTATGCTATTTAGCTTGCGCATTAGTATTCTAGTTGATGGCATAATCTGCAAGCTTATTTACGTACTGTAAACATCCGTTCGTGGGGATAACGAGGTATATTGAGAAAGTGTTTGGGCGACGTCATTATATGTACGATTTACATCTCGATATTCCTGATATTGAATGTAAGCATAAGTAAAGCTGTATACGTGGCGGGTAGATTTACATACGCTTGTAAGAACACTGTATAGCCAGTTCAGAACTCGTTGCTGCACACCGGCCATTATGATAAATGAGCTTCAGGTCCAGCCAGCTGGCTAGCTAGGTACCGAAGTGAAGCTATTCAGAACGCAATGATGATGAGATGGGTGGGGGTGGAGCTTAGCTAGAAAGTATCATGTGATAGATTGATTAGATAGGCTCGATAGGCTCATGTGTACTGGTAGATGATGGGATGGTTGTGCGAGTGCAAGACCAAGATGGGTGGTAGGGTTGTCTGTGTGTGTGGGTCGCAGGAACTTTGAAACATTCAACTCGGGCCCTACGAGAGTGAAATTGGCAGTCAGACTCGCATATCAAACTAATCATGTATCGTGTACGAGCTAGATGTCAAAAATCAAATATCAAATATCAAATCGAAAATATATCTGATCGGACGACTCCGTTGTACTCGAGTATATACGGATAACCATCGATGGATTGTATTTTATCCTGGTATTATATTAACCAACTGAAATCCGTCAATTATGGATATTTCCATCAGACTCTACATACCAGATGTCTCCCAAAGGTACTAGGGCACATGATTCCAATGCCGGTAGGGAAGGAAGAAATAGGAATGAGAAGGGAAGAGAAGAGAAGAAGAGAAGAGAAAACTCTTTGACATCTGCTATGATGCCATGACCAGAACCATGTCCAGAACCATGTCCATGACAAACAATTCTTCTATTAAAGGAAAATGATTAGTCTTTATGGGCCGATACCGCGCAATTCCGAGGAGAGCTGCTTTCTAAGCGGAATGCTATCAAATGTTAGCTTTTTCCCATTTCTCAGACCACCTGCCCCTCTCTTGACTATATATAGGAGGGGCAATCATCCCCTCCGGAAAAGGATTTGCGATAAAAGTTTCTGAAATATTTCATCATCCAACTTCATTTCAGCACCTTTTTGCCTCACACAACATATTTTGCAGTTCATATGCAAAGCAAATACAAAGATTATCGAAAAGGCTGAGGAGTATTGGACAAAAGATCCTATACTCCTTGCGTCAGGACAGATACTTTAAACCTATCTATCTTTTTTCCCCAATCAGATCATGCTTCCTCCACTTCCCAAACTCAGCAAATACGGAATATCTCCAGAGTATGGATTTCTTCCGGCTGATTTGCCTCTCGAACGACTTCCCGATCCATACTACAACAAATGGGAGGCGATCAATGCAAACCTTCAAGGTCTGATTTTGAGTAAACGCCTGCGCGGTGTTATTGATCGTCTGCCAGTTCTTTCGACTGCCGGTCTGGAACACGATTCGGAATGGCGAAGAGCATATTCGTTGTTATGTTTCATGGCGCATAGTTATATCTGGGGTGGTGATAGCCCTGAAGAGGTTTGTACAATTTTTTCCCTCGATCCGAAAGCCTTGTGTGGAAGTCTCGTGCTGATTACTTGTGATATCTACAGAACCTGCCGCCATCCATTACAGTTCCCCTTTTACACATTTCAAACTACTTGGAAGTACCACCAGTCGCCACATATGCTGCCGTCTGTCTCTGGAACTTTAAACCATTGTTCGCAGATGAACATGTCGACAATTTAGAGAATCTTGCCACTCTGACCACATTTACTGGCTCTATCGACGAGTCTTGGTTTTATTTGGTTTCAGTGGCAATTGAAGCTCGCGCTGCTCCCGTTCTTCCGCTCATGCTTACAGCCATTGAGGCGGCTCGTAAGAATGATAGCAGGACTGTTACATCTTGTCTTCGAACTTTTGCGGAGAGAATCGATGATCTTGGAACACTTCTTCAACGTATGCATGAAAGCTGCGATCCTCATGTGTTCTATAATCGAATCCGTCCTTTCCTTGCTGGTAGTAAGAATATGGAAGAAGCCGGATTACCAAATGGAGTTTTCTATGATGAGGGTAATGGTGTTGGCCAATACCGTCAACTCTCTGGGGGTAGTAATGCTCAAAGCTCCATTCTTCAATTTTTCGACATTGTTTTAGGAATAGAACATCGACCCACGGGTGAGAAGAAGGATGCCGCTTCAGAGAGTGAAGCCGAAGGCGCAGCTCCACGAACCAAGCATAACTTTCTTCTCGAAATGAGAAAATACATGCCAGGAGCTCATCGACGATTCCTCGAAGATATGACCGTCGTGGCCAATATTCGTGGTTACGTCGAAGCGCATACCGATAATCATGAACTCTGTCTCGCCTACGATGCTTGTCTCGCCATGTTGCGCACGTTCCGCGATAAACACATCGCTATTGTCACACGTTACATCGTTGTCAAATCCCGTGAATCTCACTCTCATTCCCGTTCCATGAGTCCCGAGGCAACTCGTAGCCGAAAGGTAGACATTGCAACGGCATCTCGTGGAAAGGGTGATGACGAAGAGAAGAAGAAGAAATTGAAGGGGACAGGTGGTACGGCGCTTATCCCCTTTTTAAAACAAGCGAGGGATGAAACTGGAGAGCCGACAATTGATTCTTGGGCGAGAAGAGTCATGAATAGAGATTTGAATACGATGGGTAAAGGGGATTTCTTTGTGGGAAAATTGGATGAGCATCCTGATGGAGGATTAGAATTGGGTGGATTGGCTGGAACATGGACTTTGGATGATGAGGTTGGTGGATTGTGTAGTTATTAAGCAGATGTATGTGTTACTGATCACCGCGTGGCTTTTTGCTTGAACACACTTAGTTTGCCTCTGTTATTCTTTATAGAGATACCTATCTACTCAGAGAGGTTTTTGTATTGAGTGGCAACTGTTTGGTGAATTATTGAGATGAGCCAGTCAGCTAGTTGAATTTAATGAATTTGGTCGCTAGTCTGATGTTGAATTTTGAGAATACCATAATTACCTATGTGATGTATGTATTTAAGTGAATGAATGGAAGTTGTTTAATATTGATATCCATCAAAATATATAGAGCTGCATTATACTCAGGTACCTATGTGCTGATGAAAAGGAATGGGATGGGATGGGATGAGATGAGAAATATATCGTTCTGAGATGATAAATAAAGACTTTTGGGTATGAAATTAGATGGGGTTGGATTGGATAGGATGGGATGGGATGGGACTAAAATATAAATGATAATAGATGAAATAGATGAAATAGGATGAGATGAAATGTGTTGATTGATATCTTGAGATATATAGAAATTGCGTGATGATTTCTAGGTATCTTGATACTGATGGGATGGGATGTATTTGTGATATGATTTGATATTGATATTGATATTGATATTGATATTGATATTGATATTGATATTGATATTGATGCGATATAAATAGATACTTGGTAGATGTATTGATAAATAAATTACTTGATAAATATATTGATAGATAGGTATGTATATACAATCGCCCCCAACCCAAAATTCCAACCATTCATACAAACAACGCCGAATTGAATTTGATATTCATGGAATCGTATCGCCGAGAAATGTACCTAGTACCTAGGTAGTATATATAACAGATTCCTCAAATGAACACCCTTCTTTTGTCCCTCCCCTTCTCTTCTCTCTTCTGTTCTCTCTCCGAATCCCTATTCCCTATTCCCTATTCCCTATTCCCAACCATCTTATCCTCACCTCACTTCACTTCACTTCACTTCACTTCACTTCCCCTCCCCTCCCCCAAACCCCTCCTCATGCTCCGGAATCCTCCCCAGCGAAACCATCGATCCCCTCCTCGAACACGGCGGACAAACCCCCCTCTTCTTCTTTGTCATTTTCCCATACCCATACCCATACCCATTCCCATGTGCATTTGCATACCTATGATGTTTCCCGTGCTGCGAGCTAGGTCTTGATTTCGCATGTGGATTTGGGTTTGTATGTGCATAAGGAGGGAAAGAAAATGCAGCGGTGTGGTGCATATTCATCATGTTGTTGTTATTGGGGATGGTGGTGGGCCAATTCCGCGCGCGCGATGAGGGGTTTTGCCAGACTCGTGGATTGGTTGTGGAGGTTTTGGGGGGTGGGGATTGTGGGGTTGGTCTGTTTGGGTTTGGGTTTTGGTTTGGGCTTTTGATGGTGGTGATGGTGTGGGTTTTGCTATTGTTGGATTTGGGGTTGGAGTTAGGGTAGGTGTGTCGTTTCGTGGGAATTGTGTTATTGGGTCGTTCGGAGGGGATATCTTTTCGTCCCCGCTTTCCTCGAGAATAGAATGAAATCCTTGGGTTCTGCAATGTATCGACACTATTAGATTCCTCCTTTTTCTTTTCCTTCTCCAGATCCTGTTTCTCCGTCTCAATGCTTCTATTGCCTTCATCCTTATCCTTATCCTCAACATCAGCATCAACACTCAATACCACCCCCTCATCTACGACCCCTTCCTGAAGCTTTCTCCACATTGTCGGATCCAACTCTTCTTTTTTAATCCCATAAATTTCCATCATCCGAAAAACGAGTTTGCGGGGAAGCGTATCAGCTTTTCGATTCATGCAACCGATAAGCCATTTTTTTACCTCAGGAGCTTCGTTGGATTTGGGGATGTCATATTTCAGAGGAGTTGGTGGAAAAGGGGGCATGAGAAGGGAAGGGTCGAAGCTGGAGGTGGATTTTAAGGATGGGGATGAGGAATGTGATGAGGTACTAGATATCGAGCAAGAATCTGTTTGGATGTTGGTATCTGAGGTTGGAGATGTGACGATGATTGTGATGGAGCTACTGGAAGCATGTTTATGGGTGTTGAGTAGAGGTGGAGGTTGTTTAGTTGCGTGTGGAGAGGCTTTTTTTCGATCTTTAGGGTTTTCCGTTCGATTGCAAAGGTTGGTCTGTTCGATAGCGATAGGTTCACAGTCTTCCGACTTTCTGCTTGATAGACTATACCAAGACTTCCTTTTGCTTGAGACGCTGGTTTTTCGGGATGGTCCCGTGGACGTTTTGGTCCCAGATATTCCCATCGCGGATCCATTAGCGGTATTCTTTTGAGTATCGACGGTGCATTGTGATGATAGTTCCATGGACCGTAGAGTTTCCTTCAGGATCGAACCCTTAAGTTTCCCGGATACGCTGCTGCCATCTTTGAGATCATCAATGCTAACTTTATTATCCTTCACCCTTTTGGATGTTAGTATCAAGCATGAAACTAATTGGAAAATGCCAAGAGTTGATCACATACTTTTCCTTCCTCCCAATTGATAACCACTTTAGGTACTTCATGTGTCCGAATAGAATGAGCAATCGATATTCAATCCTTCCCAATACTATCGGTCTTTATACTCGAGGCGTTGATAATACTTATCATAAACTGCCTTCGCATACAGCGACGTTGTTGATGAAAATGGTGTACTTCATCATTCAGTACATCCAGGGAATGACGAGTATAAATTGAGGTCGTATGCAACGTTCGATTTCATGAGCGATTTTCGATATATCCTAAATCGAATCTATATTCGGAGCTGAAATTGAGATAAGAAAATCCGAGAAACTAATGTACGACGGGAATAGATATGCCCTGCAGGGAATACGCGTAGCGAAGCGTAAAATAGTCTGTTCGGGGCAATATTCCTGGAAGAGCTGAAGAATTCTTTCTCTTCCGGCAACCAGGTCACAATTTAGTGTAATGGATCGGAAGCTTTGACGTGGCACTAGAACGAAGTCTTTTCGAATCCAATTTTTGGAATGAAGAGTAGTATCTTATACTCTCATACTCTCAATGGGAGTGAAATAAGTGGAGCTACTTCGAACGTTTTTGATGGCGTGTGGTATTGACTTGGCGTGGCTGAAATTTCTGCATGATTATTGATCTTTGGTCGATCAGGAAAGGAAGTAGAAAGTGTAGGGGACGGTGGTGTAGGAGGGAGTTTCATCATGCCACTATTGAATGAATTAGCAAGTACTAAGTTTGGGGGTCCAGCGATGGACGCCGGACATTAACAGCACATACTTTGACAAGTCGCCCATATCGGCCAGCATGGCATTGCAGGTGGCGTTATGATTGTTTTGATGATAAGATAGCTCATCAATTTTCCTGCAAGTATCCTTGAGCTAGTTCCCAACAATAGTCGAGAATGAGCAATTGGTCAAACTCACGCTGATAACATGGCAAGTTGGATTTGAAAGATCCTCATGCTCTCGGTTTTCCTCTCATCAATATCTCTTTGGATACGAGCTCTCGATGCCATCCAAGCAGCCTTTCTTTTCACTCTGGACATCCTACCATATCCATCACCTTTTGTTACCAATTCGGCACTCGTCCGTAACTCTCTGTCCATGACTCTCATTCGTTCTAATGATTGGACATAAAGTCCCTGAAAATACTTGAAATCACCAGCACCATATTTGCGATCTGGTTGACGAATGAGCGAAGCTAGATATGCATTATTCAACATATCAGTCTCCGTTTCGAGAAGATATATTTTATCTAATGCAATAGATATTTCGGCTTGTGTATCAACGGCATCACGAAGACCAAGAGCATGTGCATAGAAACCAGCAATAACAGCTGCAACAAAGGTAAGCAATCCTGTGATACTAGCAGCAATTGATAATGGACTATCGGACATGATCTCCAAAGAAAGTGGCCCCCAAAGTGGCTCCCAAAGTGGTCCAGATTAATAAACTTTGACCAAGGAAAAGGATGATTGCAACATTCAATTGAAGATGATGAGATAGGGTCTCTCTCAGTCTGATATCTGAATCAATATTAGGCAACAGATGCAGAATTCAAGGGTACACAGCTGGAAGCACAGCCACTCATCGGAAGATTTTCAATAAATGCAGGTACAACCAATTGGGAAGAGAATGGATATATCTCATCCACCAGTGATCCCCCCCCAATCATGATAAGCTTAAAGGATGAGATGAATGGCGGGAATCCTCCTCCCCTCATTCATCCCCTCATCTTGGTTTGTTCAACAACGTTGTGAAACTTTTCAGACGTTATGTTATGCTTTGTAGGTACAGAGAGTGACACGACATTTAATTTGTAAGTTTACCTGGGTGTGAACCCCAATGGCTCATCTTGTAACTCATGTAACTGAATGATATATTAAGGCCGCAAAAGAGCTCACCGGTCGGATCATTTCCATACATGCCTATTCGTCTACTCCCCGGCGAGCGATCGACTGTACTCTGTAGCACAAAACGCAGCTCGACAATCTTTCTTATTCTTAGATAAAATGTGTAATAGTAATGCTTTACGGGAGCTGTACTTTTGTCCCCCTGATTTCCTTGCTTTTATTCGATTTTACTTATTGTTTGTAGGATCGTACCAGCAGGCTGAAAACAGATCAAAGATCATCCATCTTCTTGTTTGGTCATGTCTGTTGGGCAAAGTAGTAATAAGTGTGTGATGATAAAACTTCACGAAGCGTCATGGTTGATTTTTCTTCTTTGTTTCTCTGCTTCATCGTATTCGTAGATTGGACGACGATTCATCCTCTACCATGTCTGCCGTTCATTATGTATCTGTTGCTTTGTATTGATCTGCCCATATATACGAAGAAGAAGAGAAAGAGAAAGAAGTATGGCTATAAGATATTCCAGATATTCCTCAAACTTTGGAATGCCATACCTCAAGTGTTCACTCAGCCCAGTTAGATAAGCCCCATAAATCATAAATCGTGCCAGATTTGTCACCATCCGAGGTCTACCCACTCAGTGGCACCAGTGACCTACCGGTGACCCCTAAAATTTCCAAATCAAAACATAACACCGATGAGCACGTCCAACAGATCCAGTATATCAAGATCTATTTCTTGCTAAGAGATGCTCCGTTATTCAAGTTTTACTGAATCTGATAACCTTATTCGTTAACGCCCAGGTGAATCATCCACAATTACGTCGTCTACTCCAATCAAACTTGTTTAGTATGAAGCTCGACGAGAGAAGGGAAGGAAGCTATCCACGGCTGGCTGTCCTTGAAACCAGTCTGAGACCTGACACAGATATTCTGATACTCTGACACGTAGGAGGATTGAACGAACTAATAGGAAATTATATATGACAGTTTATCATACAGATTCCAAAAAAGAGATTATGTATACGGATTTATGAACCCGACGACAAGTATATCATTCACTTTACTCATCATACTTCAAACCCGAGCCAGCTCAAAGGTCTAAGCCTCGATAAAATTAAACGATCGTGAATCAGTGACGAAGACAAATCCGAAGAACCGGCGCAAACGAATCGAATGAAATTATGGTCATCTTGTCTAATTCACCCACTGCGAATCGAATTACCATTAATTCTTCCACAGAGAAAGGCTTGAATGAAAAGACATTCGAAGATTCAGCCCATACAATAATCATGGATCAGCCAAATGCTACACCTCCAAAGACCTCAATAGATACTTCATTCGATGGCGTCGATCCTTCCGTGGAATTTGTTGGGGACGTCAATACTAATAATGATATACCCTCCCAAGAGGTGCTGAAGAAAGTTGAGAGTATGATCGTCCTAGATAGGGATGGCAAAACTAGACCTTTCAAAAGTTTATACTCAGGCCCGAATGTAGCAAGAAGAGTCTTGGTTATATTCATCCGTCATTTCTTTTGCGGGGTAAGCTGTCGCCCTACTATCACCCTAGCTGTAAAGTTCAACTCAAACCTAACGTTTACGCTTTCTACCAGAACTGCCAAGAATACCTTCGAACCCTCGCAGCATCCATCACCGAAGATTCCCTCCTTCAACTCCATACTCCCACCTTTATCGCCGTCGTTGGTTGCGGCAGTCCATCTCTAATCCCCATGTACCAAGAAGCTACAAATTGTCCATTCCCAATATATGCGGATCCTACAAAGAAGCTATACGATGAGTTGGGAATGATGCGCACATTGAATCTCGGCACCAGACCAGAATATCAGCGCAGAGGTACTCTCATGGGGATCGGACAGAGCGTACTACAAAGTCTCAAACAAATCAAAGGCGGCAAACTGTTTCAAGGAGGTGATTACCAACAAGTCGGCGGAGAATTCCTTTTCGAGCCAGTGCGAATGGCTACTCCGATCACTTCACCTGCTGATGGGCCCGTTGGTATGCATGCGAGCGGTGGAATTCTGGGAAATGGTGATAAGATAGGAGAAAATGAAGGCTATGAAGAGAAGAGAATCACCTGGTGTCACAGGATGAAAAACACCAGAGATCATGCGGAAATTCCAGAGATCAGAGAAGTCCTTGGGTTCGATGAAATGGTCGAGGGCGGAAAGAACCAGAAGAGGTGGTCCAAAGCATTGAGCGAGAGAAAAGGTACCGGAGTAAGCATTGGGGCTAGAAGTAGTAGAGGAACGAGTCTGAAGCTGGAAGGAATGAGTGAGGACGGTGGTAGTGTGCGGAGCAAGGAAGCAATCAGTGAAAAGCCAACCTAGGTGGCAGATGATGTCGAATAACAACGAGAGTAATTGGCACGCATGGGTCAAGTGAGTGGCCATGGAGTTTGGTCGGTATATTCTTGGGGATTATCTTAGCGGGGCGGTTGATACATGGGGGAGTTCTTTTGCAATCTTTGCTGTTTGAAAGCTTGTCGTTATTGTTTCTATACCCAATTCTGAAATGTTTCTCTGAAATGTTTCCTTGAAATACTGGTTCTTGATATTGCGGTCTACTCTGCGCCTATTGGTCAAATTGTGCAATCCAAAAGTTTTGTTGCATGTCTGATTCCAATCCCCTATTGCCTTTTGTCTCATGTGGCAGTAAGCAAAGTGAGTGAGTGGTATTGTTGTATATCCAACTCTTCCATACAAAATCAGTACGACCGAAAGATTTGTTGCACATCTGAAATGGAGTCCTTTGATGCCTTTCCCTTTCAAAGGGCAGTAAAAGCAAGGGACTTTGCTGTATTTTATACCTAGGTACCTAGTTCTTCCATACCAACAGGAGCACAATTAACTATCATCCAACGTCCCATTTTGATTCACCCCGTATCTCATTGGACAATGTCAGATCGGAATCATTCAAGTGGATACGACTGCACTCTATACTCATCGTAGGTTTTCCGAATAGTACCCTGGTTTTAATTTCTTCTAATTCTAATTTCTATGGATTTTAACTCGTCGTCATCTATACTCTCCTTCTATCTCTACTTTCATTTCCTACTTAACCAGAACAGTGGAAGGATATCCTATACCACCCCCGCACCCTCACCCTCATCATCCATTCGACTAACCATTTCCCCCGAACTAAAATGCCTCAAAGCATTATACATTTGATTCTTTCTCCGTCCATTCACAAACACCTAATAGTATTCTCTCAATCTGTTCTCCTTTCCTAGTCATTTCCTCCTCTCCAACTTCCTCCCTCTACTCCTCTCCCTTTCTCCAACTCTCTCCCTATCCCTACAAATCTCCACCATTCTCTTCATTTCCACCGCCCTCAACGGTTTCGGTTCCGATAATCCACATTCCGCTTCTTTAACCACCATTATATCTCTTTTCTCACTCTCATCTCTTCCATCTTCCTCTCGTCTCATCTTCCCATCAGCTTCCCTTCCCTCACCCTAACACTGACACTAACCCCCTTTCCCCCTCTCAAACCATCAATTCTTTTCTCCTTTTCTCCCCATCCCACCAACCTATCCAGATCCTCATCTCTCCATCCTCCCTTCTCCCCAAGTTCTCGTTCCACCTCATCCCAATCAATACTACGACTCCCATCTCTACCCATATGCATTCTCGCATCTCTCAATCCCCTTTTGAGAGGTAAATGCGCTAATGCATCTCCATCCCTATCCCCACCACCCGCCGGGAAAATTTCATTCCATTGACCAACCACACGGCCTCTACTTCCTATTCTTGGTCCTCTGCTCCCTAACCTCTCTCTTGACTTTGTCGGTGGGGGTGATGAAGATACTTCAACAATTTGGATGCCAACATCCTCATGTTTATCTTTTACAGGCCCCTCCTTTTCTTTTCCCTTGTCCTTCCCCTTCCCCTTCCATTCATCATTCGCCACAATAGCCATTGGAAAAACCGGATTGATTCTCCCCTTCCTCACTTCCCCATCTTCATCTCCATCTCTCCGTGGACTAATCTCGAATTTCTCTTTCCTCCCCTCAATCAACGTTTTTGTTCTCATTCTCATTTTACCACTATCAATCGCAAGTCTCTGTTTCTCACTCTCCCCATCCTCTTGTTCCTTCCCAGGACTAGGAGCGATACTCTCATCATTGTTCCCCGTCCTCGAAATATCCTCAAACAACCTCATTTTCTCCGCTATCAATCCATTTCTTACTTGTTTCGGCTTTTTAATCCCAGAGCGCGGCCAAGTCTGAAGCGCACTCTTCTCAGGCTGTAGAGCTACGGGTGATTCATTCATAGGCGCTGGTGTCTGCTGACGTCTCTGTATTGGTATCTTCTCAGTAGATTCCAAGGGTAAAACGGATACTCTCTGCATGATCGTTTCTGAAAGCACATTTTTCCTCGGTGAGGAAGTAAGCTCGGAAGATTTGTGACTTATTTGATTTCGTCTTTGAGTGGGGAGAGGGGCAAGATCTTGAGGAGTATCAGGATTAAGGATACTTTTCCTACGAATGGGTGACGAAAAGACAGGAGGTGGTGGTGCCGGCGGAGGAACAGGGATAATTGCAGGATTTTCTCCTTTGACTGGAGACACAATTCTTGGTCCCGCATCTCTTGATGCAGAACCTGGTAACACAGTTCCGGCAAACGATGCACCGCCGTCAAACCTCATTCTCATATCCGCGACTTTCGATTTCGATCGAAAAGACGACGTATCTTTTATCCGTTGGGGTTGTCTCACATCATCTTTCTCGACATGTTTCGGCATGGAAGACACTGCATGGTTTTCCTGGAGAGCAGTTTTAGTATCCTTACCTTTGCTTTTCCGGGCTTCGTTTTTGGCTTGATAGATGGCTTCGATTTTCTCGCTAATTTGGCTTCGTCGCGTATCAACATCTTTTTGTATACCTGTTTTGGGATCTTTGCGGCCGGGGATCGTTCGTCCTCTTGGGCGGGTGATTTTGGGAAGGGAGGGGCCGCGGGTTGGAGTGACGTTGGTTTCGTAGCGGGCTAGGGAACTTCCACGTGAATTAATGTCTACTTGCAATAGAAGTTAGTTAGGAACCACAAGGATCCTGGATACATATCTCGAGAAATCCATTTAAATCAATCAACCTACCTTTAGTTTCTGACTTCAGTCTCTTGAATCCCTGTGGTCTCGTCGGAGAGGTATGAGGCGAGACCGTATTTGAAGATCTTGTCTTTTCCGAACTCCCCTGAGAAGCCAAGAAAGGATTCTGAACTGCCTCTCCGAAAAAATTGCGTTGTTTTCTATGAGATACCGGCGTATATTGCGCTTTTTGAGCTGAAGAGATCGTAGTACTTTTCTCTTTGGCCACTTCAGATGTTCTAGAGAAGTTTGACGAGCCTCTCATTGCTGATTTAACTGTTGGTGTTTCAATAGCGGTGGTGTAGGAAGTTGAGGGAGATCCATTATTACGATTGACATGATGAGCTGGAGCAAGTAAAGATGGAACGTTTTTTGAAGGACTTGATTTTGCGGGGCTCGAGGGAAGTTTCTCGTCTGGACTTCCGTCAAAGAAGCGTATTCGGTCTTTAATCATGTTTCCGATTTTCTTATTTGGAGACTTTTTCGGGAGTGTATAGGCTGGAGTTTCGGGTTTTTTACCACTCATGTTCTTCGGGGTAGATCTTGAGGAAACCATCCTATTTTCACTCTTCGACGGTGTCTTTACAGTTTTTCCCGGCTGCTGTGGAGTTCTCAGTTGTCTCGATTGGAATTGCCTTTTCTGAGATCGGAGAAGTGTTGATTTAGTACTACTAGGTGTACCTCCCCATGTATTATTCCTCATGTATTCCTCAATGAAAACATCGCCATCTCTAGACAAATCCCTAGTAGTCGGACTTAAAATGGTGGATAGTCTTTTTTGTGAAGAATCTCGTGTCCTGCTTCTTTTTCGAGGAGAGTTTCGTGCTGAGTGTAATGGTGCGGGTTGGAGTGTGAAGTCTTGGATGGGAAGACTTAAAGCGTCCATAGCTTCGAATTTGCCGACTAGACATCGAAGAGCTGATGTGACGACAGGTTTTGAGCTGATAAATTTATGTCGTTAGTACTTTTTGGAATGGTATAAAAGATACTAGACCCGTTGACTTATTAAATCAGTGTGTCGAAGAGGCCTTACCGATAAAAGGGTTTGTTATCCCTACTACTCCGCCCACGATCAGGAATCATTTGGCCGTCTAGAGAAGAAGCTTTGGATCTTGATCTCCCGATGGTAGATATCTTAGCATTCGAACGAACACTATTATGGCCATAAATGCTACGACCACGTCCCCATGATCCATGGTAAGCCATATTTGCCACATCCACTGACCGAGTAAATACTTGAAGTCAAAATCAAATAGCAAGGAATACTATGTATGATATGATCACTGGCGTAAAGCAGTAAAATAGGTATGTTGTACGAGAAGGCAGCTGAACGAATGACGATTTGAAGTTGCAATATTATCTTGTGTGTCTGATTCAAGAGGCAATACCATGTGGTGATGAGAAATGCTCCTTCCATCTCTGATGTAAAGTCACTATAGACTACAATCGCGTTTGGCACTTGCCAAAACTAACAAGGTGAAAAGTGCGACATCATCTCAAAGGAAACCTTAACGTGTGATAATGATCCCATTCTCAAGAGGCCTATTAGTTAATACAATATATTCATTTGCGTAAATACATTCGAAGAAATTAGAAAAAAATATGTCTGACTAGCTTCGCACCTGTGCAAATCCTCTCAATTAATGCTCATTACCACCGTATTTCCAGACGTCACCTCCATGAAATTGTCCAATCAATTTTCCTCATCAAATTAGGGGTATATATCATGCGTAACTGTACTTGAACCCACTCATGCCTTCTGAACTCCATACGATTTATTAATGCGTACACCCATGGCTTCAAGATCCATTTCCGTGCTATCTCTTGGAGCATGATTTGCCATATTATCCTCGACAATACAGTCAATTGTGGTGACTTGGTCCATGACATTGCTACCTTTTCTCATCATGGTGGCATTGCTTCCTTTTCTGGATGTAAAATCAAGTCGAGAGGATTGTGCGGTGGTGTCGCTGGCATATGTCTTTCGTGAGAAATTTCCGCTCTGTGAACCTTGCATTGTGCGTGAACCAGTGAGGTTGGACACGTCGATAGTAGACGTTTCCTCGTCTGTCGCCATACCGGCCCAAAGTGAAGAAATGGGAAGTAAAAGTGCGACTGATGTAAGGGAAATAGTGCCTGCTTCTGGAAATGAAACTGGTGTCACATATTCGAGGATGGCAAAGATAGCTGTTTGATGTTAGCTTGCATTTCCATCGGATCATGGCATTAAATCCTCACAAGGTATAATCATGGTGCAACCACCCATAGCAGCAAGAATTCGCACGGCGCTCCATTGTCTCCATCCGTTTCTTCGACGATTGTAGAGAGTCCATACTAATTTTCCAGTGAATATGAGAGAGAAGAACCATATCGAGATTGTCTCCGTTACAAGGGTTCCTTTGGCTAGCCATTGCATTGGCACGGACGAAGCAGATGTTGCCAAGATGGCCACTGAATTGACGACCGTTGCGGCGAGCCTAAAGCCAATTGCTAGTAGGGCAATGATAGCAGAGAGTGTGGTGAGGATAATTCGATATAAATTATCCAAGTTCTTACAAACAGTGTGAGCTTGAAGATATAAAGACATGTTGACTGTGATCGTCATACAGAGAGGAATGACACTGCCAGCGACACTAGAAGCATACGACGATCGTGGCACTCTGCTGAAATCGAACGTGAAAGCGGCGTAGAAGTCATTGAAGCCTTGAAGAAAATAGATGGCATAGAGCATGGCGCGAAGGAACCCGAAAATGAGTGAGAGGGTATTGAGGACAAAGAGGAGTGATTTGCGCTTGGCAGCCTTGGTGAGGACGACGACGACGAAGAACATCAATAAACAAGCTCCAGCTTGAGCACCATAGTTGATACAACTAGCCACATTGTAGTAGTAGAAAAAGTCGATGTCGACTGGGGTGATAGACACAGTCGTAACGCCATCGGCCATGAGAATGGTAATGCTCTGGGTGAATGGATCGAAGTTCGAACTGTTGGAAGCCATCCTTACTTTAGACTTTTCCAGGGCGTGGTGAATCGTCGGTATGATAAGGTATCAAAGTAGCAGGTGTGTTGAAGGAGTAATGTAGAAGGCAATTTTTTTGCCTAGCAAAGATAGCTATGATAGAACTATTGTGTGGAACGTTCGGAGATGCTGAAGGTTCGAGATGACACACTGATTATAGGAGGGGAGGGAAGTTTATATCCAAAATGCCTCTAGAAATTCTTGAACCACCTAAAAGATGACAAGTCGTGCTTGTAACGACACTGTCTCTAAATAATAGCAAGTGCATTACTTTGCTATAGTATTGTGGATATAAAATAAATCTGACCAGGATCAAGGTCTCGATAACATCACAGTCGATATCACAGTTGAGAACAATGGAGACTCTCCTTAGTATTGTTCTATTTTACCGAAATAGACCACACTAGCACGAAATTTTAAGCACCAAATGATCAGATGAATCAAGGATAAGTTGTTCACAGTCAAATTTGACCTAGACTACTTGTTTAAGATCAATTAGGAAATGGAAATAAGATTCAAAAGCATCAAAACTTCAACGCAATTCAGAAATATGAGTACATGATGTTTGTGGCAGGTGTTCTTAGTATTGTCCGTGATACCTTCGTATTGTAGTTGTAGGCGAGCCACATGGAGCCACACGAAATCATGAGCAAAAGAAGTGAAATTTGGGGGTATGAAATAAAAGGGGAAGTGGAACGGATCATCGCTAGGCAAGTAACAGGATAGCATCATTTCAAACTTCGTGTCACAAATGAATCAAGATGATAATGATGCTGTGCTCGACATAATATCTAACCCGAGGTGAAATTATTGCAATTGACTGTGAAGAAAGTTGCAAACTTGTGAGACAAAAACATGCCAAGATTCTAAATTTGGCACGAGGTTCACGTGCTGGAATCGAGGGGTTGTGGCAACATTCTTTCGCGGGCCGTTTCAATGCATTCAAGCCTCACGGTTAATCTGATGTTGTGTATCGATCAATTTACATGTATAGATAACACTTCTGCATGCTACCGTGATTGACATACCACAACTTCTGGAAAGATCAATCTGATATGTTGAGCTCAAGCTGTCCATCATCTAAACCGGAATACTGCCGAAGGATCCATGTGTAAGATATCGGTAACTTGCAGGGCCAGTGGGACGAGTATGTCAGAGGCACGCATCTGATTCGGAACGCTTTCCTTTCTACACCTTAATTTGAAAATGAAAAAGTGACGCCGATCGGATGAGACCCGAGTTTCCTCTTTTGTCTTCGTAGAATATGGATGCATACCTTATGAAAATCAAATTTACGGTAATCAGCGTACGTCGGTTCCAAAAGAGACACACTGCAATAATGCAAGTTCCCCTCTGATGGCTCATTTCCAAAAGTTTATCCGATGATCAGAGATAACGATACCTACCTATTTAAGTATTCATAACTGTACACTCAACTTTTTCCTTCGTTCATCATATATTCCCTTCAATATCACCCTTCCAAGACATGAAAAGATCCAAGCTAGCCTACCAACTGCACTGAAGCTTGCTATGTGATTTTTGATGAAGGAGTTGGGATGTTTTTAGTATATATGTGAAGGTAAGGGGCAAGCTCCTTTATGCTATTGCTGCTTTGGGAGGTAATTTTGTGGAATGTATTTTATGTTGAGGGATGTATAAAGGAAGTTTCAGATCAAATGATGTACACAGGTCTACGGTTTTAGTAGCCCAGATGCTCTTTTAGTATTGAGTCCTATAACCGTGGGATGGATTCCTTGGCATGCGATTGATTCCGTGTCTATGCTCTGTGGAATAATCATTTGGGTATTACTTTGATGATCGGAGATTTGTGTCCTGGGTATTGAGAAGCGAGACATTGGAAATCTTCATACATATGTAAATGATCTGAATCTTCTTGAGAGTCGTGTAGAAACTCCAAAATACTGCGAACATAAGCAAAAAAGAGCTGTGTCGCTTATAAGTTTAATCAAATCACGATCACAATAAGAAGCAAGAAAAGAGAACGTTTTTTGATCAGCATAATTAGGATTTAAATAATGAGCGTGCTCAGCATCTATGAAAGGACTTTGTGTGTATAAGGAAAGTATAAGTCAATTCATCATCACAATATCATAGGACCACCCCCTCTTCTAACTCTGGAGAAGAAATCGCAGATCTCATTCCCCATCGCTAGCAAGAGTCCACCACAATACAAAAGAAATTTCTAACACAAAGGGAATTCCGAGCCATTCATCAACCAATAATAACCATTAATCTTATATCTTGTTCCATTTCCATACCACTTCGGGTGCATTACCCACTATCGACCATCTCTAGCATACTGAAGATGCTTATTCGGACTCGTTAGCAAGAGCACGGGCAAAGCGGCGCTTGCTGAGGTTGTACTCGATCGCACGCTTCTTGGCACCAGCGGATTGGGTGAAAGCAACGGATCCACCGAAAGGACCAGCGAGAGCGCTGTTCTGGACCTTGGCAACACAGACGTTGGAGGCGCCACCGACAGAGCCGGAGCAAGTCATACCAGCTGGCATCTGAACAGCCATTTGGAAATCGGTGGTTTGAGCGGCGGAAAGACCACCGATACCGATACCTGGAACGTTCTGGGTAACTGCAGCCTTCTTGAAAGCAGCTGGGTCAGTTCCACCGGAAGTGGGGTCGACCATTGCAGTCAATGGTCCGGCACCATCTTGGTTGACTTGGTGGAAGGTCATCTTGACAGTTCCATCATCAGCACAGGTTGGCATGCCAGATTTGGCACCGGCACCCATAGCGGCCTTGACACCGGTCTCTGAAGTGCCGGATGGAGTCTTGGCACCACCATCAGCGGCGCGGACAACGAGGGAGCGTCTGTGCATGCTGGCAGCGTGAATTTCACGAGCTGCAACAGCGGCGGTGCTGTTTGCATCGCCTCCCATGAACATGGAGATCATCTTGGCAGCGCTGACTGGACCAGTGGAAGTGCGACCAAGAGCAGAAGCCTTGGAAGTACCCATCTCATTAGCTCTGAGGATGGAAGTATCAGCCTCAGAACCGCAACCTGGAGTTGGGCAATCACGAGGAGTTCCATCGGCGACTAGATAAATGTGTTAATAGGATGAAGCTGAGAAAGAAGAAGCTATGAGCAAGAGATGAGAAAAACTTACCAGAGAGAGCTGGCATGTTAACACCGTTGGCACCCTGGACTTCAGTGACGACACCGTGGGCGAGGACATTGGTGGCAGCGAAGGCCAAAAGAAGGATTGATGAAGTATATTGCATTTTGAAGGTAGTTGGTTGGTTGGTTGGTTATAAAGTTGAGGAACTTGGAAATTATTAAAGGATAGTTTGTGTAATTAAATTTGAAGCGACCGGCGCAAGATGGAAAGATTGTAAGATAAAGTGAAGTGAAGAAAAGATGCTGAAGATGCTGATGATGAAAAAAAGATATTCCACTGGGAGAATGGACGTTCTTTATACAAAATTTCACTACTGCCAGAAGTCAAAAAGCTTGGTTGAATGAAAAGACCGGATGGCGAGCAAGGAACTGCATTGGTGTGCTTGGCCATATTCTCTCCATAAACGTTTCAAAAACATACGTCTAACCAAGAGGTTTGGTGATACTAGTCCGAGACGTCCAAGATATGACCACGATTCGCTATTGCAGTCATGACTTAGTAAGGACCTGGATTCTTTGAGCTTCGATCTGCAATTTTTCCACACAGAACAATTCAGACTAAGGACGGAACTTTCTTTCGAGAGACCTAACATTTTCAAGAATAACCAATGACAAAACACGATGTTTCTTGGTCGATCATGCAATGCTGGGGTGTGAGATTACCTGGGGATGATCTCGAATCTCATGGAGATGAGCCTCTCGGATCTTTCATCTTTGCTTCTCCAACCCTAAGGCTGATGCTTTGAGTGTTTGGACTTTGCTCTTTCCTAGAACTAGACGACTAGTATCGGGATTCGGAAGTTGCTATTGGCTTCTTACCTGTTTCGAGTGAGCATGGTCATAGAAGTTAAGCTTGTTTCGACATCACAATCAGCTTCTGGGATATGAACAATGTCCAGCTTCCATAAACACCGAGAATAAAAACCAGCCTCTAAATCGCAGCAATAGCCTCAAAGGTCTTAGCTGCCGCAGATGCTCAAAATCTCCTGGAGGCCGTGCGGTTGTCTGGGAACATGCACCTTTAAAATTGTGAATCTCCAATGACCGTGTGTTTCTTCACAGGGAACAATAATAGTGGGGAAACCCGTTCGCAGGCCTAGCCTTGACTGGAATTGTTGGCGACAAAACCCAACGTTTTGGAAACACTCCTCTGTAGCAAATTTGGAATCAGCCACAATAGTTTGAACCTCAGCTACTTCACCATTGCAGCTTCTTACACGACACTAATTCTGTGACGATATCGTCAATGTAGTCACCAGCACCTGTGTACGAAATGATGTTTTGTACACGGCACGGAGGACTTCCTCGTCCCAAGTTCCATCTGTTCAGTTTCAATGACTACTACGCCTCAGACGACTTTAAACATCTCCGTTCATGCTTCACCAAACAACTCAAGAATTCGTTCTGGGTTATTTGATTCCGGCCGATATGATCTAAATCATGTTCGATGGCATTGATTGTAAACAATGCAAACAATGTAAACAATGAAATATTGCTGAGTTACAAAGACATTGTCATACCGTGTTTCTCTGGCATTGTGGTGTTTCATTTCGAAGTTCCAGCCTCTACGAAACCTGAAAAGGAAATTGGGATGGAGCTGGAGTCCGTGGTAACATTAGCTCAGCACGTGACTCGTAATTATTCGCTATGACATGACATTACCTGCCTACCTACCGGCACTTCACATCATCGATTACACTTCATCAAGAGCGCAATAAAAAGCAAACGTTTGCCACAATATAACAAGATTCATGATCTTCAAAGTATTCTTTCTTATTTTGCCCATATTTTCCCCATAATTTCAATTTTTTTCATTCGTCTTAAA